TAAAACAAAGTATTTTTGCGCATCTATGCATTGATTTTTTTATTTACTTAGATTTCAGCAAAAAAGAATATTTTTAAATATATATATTTTTTTCTGTTTAAAATTAGTTTCGTTTAGTTAAAAAATCATAATAAGAAAATCTGCTCTTTAAATACTAATTAAGAAATCAGCTTACAACTAGTATCTTAAAATAATAATTATGAGAAATGCTCTAAAAAATCGTGCTCTTTTCCGTATTCTGCACAAAATTTTAGTACGATTCTTGGTTTTAAAAAAATAAAAATCGGCGTTTTGCTTTCTTAAACGCCAATACTGGCCACTTTCTCTCCCTTTGTTGCTACCTCATCCCCGTACTGACTTAAAGAGTAACCCAGTTTCCATGTAATCCGGTCTACCTACCTTTCTCTCCAGTGCCAACTTAAGGTGGAATAGACTATAGTAAATTGAATGTAGATATAAACATAACGAAGTTGCTCACAAGACAATTTTCTTAGAAAATTGTCGTATTTAAAGTAGAAAATTTTCTTAGAAAATTGTTGTACTTAGCAAAATAAATTTATATTTTATGCTTGTCACAAGCATATTTGTTAACTAAATCAGAAAATTAAATGTTTTTTTAATGCTATACAACGTGTTCTTTCATTAATTTTTTCAATCATTTTATACCGTAATTAAATTTCAATTGCATAAATTTTTAAAGCAAATTCTAAATTGCGTTAATTTAGAGAGCAACTGCTTTTAAGTGATATATTTTTACCCTTGTAAAAATAAATTTAGCCGCGTTAATTAATTAATTATAAAAATAAATCTGGAAGGTCAATTTCTATTAATTAATCATTTTAATAAAATAAAAAATTTTATAACCATCAATTTATTTAGATGTGACTTGGGATATTATGGTGATTTGACTGTAGAAACTGGAAAGTGTCAACCCTGTAATTGTAACCCATATGGTTCTCGAAGAAGAGAATGTGACTCAAGAACTGGTCAGTGTCAGTGTAATGAAGGAGTTAGTGGAAGAGATTGTACTGTTTGTAATCCTGGCTATATCTTAACTGAATATGGCTGCAAATGTAAGTACACAATAACAGCTTTTATTATTTTAATTCACTAGAATTGATTTGAATAAACTTTATGACATGAATTGTTATCAAAAAGGGCTTTAACTATCACATGATTTTAGAGACAAGTAAATTGAAAGCAAGTTTTAATTTATTTTGCTTGCTTGTTACAATGTGGTATGTTGTTTATTTACAAATTTTACTTATAAGTCTTCACATTTGATCATATATGGAGGAAGAATATTGTTGTTTGTATATTTTATTGCAATCGCTTAAAATTAAAGACAAAATTATTTTGTTATGTTTAAATTAATGTTATATTTGTCAATTTATTTTCATTTATTTTATTTTAAAATTACTAGTTATCATGTGAGGATGAAAGCTCTGTAAATTTTTTGTCTAGTCTCTAGGATTATTAAATGAAGTGTTAAAATTTTATAATTGAAGAGCTGAGTAGATGAAGGTTTTTAAAGGACAATTTAGTGGATTTGAGTATATAATTTATGCATCACTTACTTACTTATTCATAGGCTCTACAGCACATGAAGGACCTTGGCCTCCTAACATTTATACATTGGTATAAAGAATATGCTTTGCTATTATTTTTTGTCCAAAAGCTTTAAACTGTCCAAATCTATAAATCCTTTATTTTGTTTTAAATTAAATTCATTCAAATTTCTTTACACCACAGTGTCAAACTCTCATAATATTTTAATTTGTTCCTAAAAGAGAAGATTTTTAAAGCTACTCGTCAACTGCCCATAGCAAAATGAGCTTGAACCTTCTTCTACTCCAGAAACATTTTTGAGATTATAACTTCAACTATTGAAATAAGCAAAATTTAATTACTAGGTAAATAGTTTAATAAGACTAAGAGGAATCTTTCTCAGTAAAATTTCAAGTTTCTCAAAAACATCTCTTAGAACATACTTCCACTAAGCCTTTTAGTTGAATGAAATAATAATTTCAATGGCAAATCATATACCTAGATCTTATTTATTTTATTTTCTAATGAAGCTTGTGAGGATGAATGCACTGGAATTCTTCTGAGGGAACTTTATGACATGAAGTTGCGCTTAGATAGCACAAATCTGACTGACTTACCTAGATTGCCATGGGGATATCTGGACAAAATTTCAAATGAAGAAAAACGATTAAAAGTAATATATAGTAATATTGATTTTGATTAATTCAGGACAATATTGATAATAGATAATCAATACATAACGTTTTTTTAGCCTCTTGTTGATGATTATCAAAGAAATGTTACTAAAGGAAAAGATCTTGTAGATAAATTTACATTCTATTTGGAGCTTGAAGCTAAAGCAGACATGCTTTTAGTTAGAGTGAGTAACCATATTGTTCTAAATTACGTATAATTTATTGTTTGTTGCATATACATGAGTGAGTAATTTTTTTTTTTTCGTTTTAAATGAAATTTAACCAGAATATTATAATTTTTTAAAGAAAATTCACCTAGTTGCAAAGTAAAATTTGATAATTAATAAATTATAATTAATAAAAATAGATGAAAACGAAAAGCCATAAGTATTTTTTTCTTGTCTTACGTTCTGTTTGTTTTCTTGTCTTGTCTAACGTTAGGCCAAAGGATATGTAGGAAAAGCAAAAGATACTTCCGTGGATGCAAAAGATACATTTGATGAAGCAAAAAAATTGTTAGAAGAATTGAACAAAATGAGACAACATATAAAAGGTAAAATTTTTCTTACAACTTATGATTGACTTTTTGCTTTTTATGAATAGATTTTGTTAATAATGTCATAAAATAATTTACTTTTATTTGAATGGTTTTAGTTATTTATTTCGTAAGACTTAAAGAAAATTAAGAAAGCTTGTTATATTTATCAAATTTGATAGCTCACACATACTATTTTAGATATTTAACAAGTGTGGATCTCTTAATACAATAAATTTCTTTTAATAAAGTGAAATTTAATCAAATATATAAAAATCATTTCTTTTAGCAACATAAATTTTTCTTAAAGAATTTTTGAATTTAAATTTGAAAAACGTTTTAATCTTATATTAAACTCAAATTTTTATTGTTGACTCTTAAACTTTCTATTTTAAAAAAAAATTTGTAAAAGAAAATTTAAAATTTCCTGTAAGAGTATTTCTAAAATGTCAAGTTATATAATATATATATATAAATATATATAATATTATTAAAATAAAAATTGACTATAATTTTTCACCTTTAGATTTAGTGGCTGAATTGGAAGCACAGGGTAAAGATCCTACTGGTCCCGGTGTCTCTGTGGAGAGAATGTTGCGTGAGGCTGAAAGAATGCTTCAGGAAATTAAATCCAGACAATTTGGACCTGATAAAGAAAATGCAGACAGAGAATTAAGGTTTATGCTGAAAAGATTTCTTTGATTTGAATTCTTACATTTATATATTTAAAAATAGTTATTTATATCTATAAAATAAATTAAAGAAACTCTCTTATAAGTACACAGTTTCTTATCTTCTCCTTGAATTAGGAAATATGTAATGGAGAAGGATAAGGTATATTGAGATAGTGTATAGTATTGAGATGCTGCCTAGACTGAAGACTGCAATCCTAATCCTAGTTAAAAAATTATTTTCTCATAATAAAAGATAATTTATTCTGAAAATAAGAGATTTTTTTTTTTAAAAAAATGAAGTGAAAATCATAGAGAAAACATAGAAAATAATACAGATTAATAAAAAGAGAAGAGGAAAAAAAATGAAAATATATAATCTCTTCATCAGTTCACATAATTATTACAATACAGATTAATAAAAAGAGAAGAGGAAAAAAAAAAGAAAATATATAATCTCATCAGTTCACATAATTATATACGCATTCCTTTTGCGGATATAATCGTGTGAGCTGATGAAGAGATTATATCCTTTCGTTTTTTTGTTTTCCAGCTTTTTAATATATATTTTTAACTTTTATAATATTTTTTTGAAGAATGTTTTATTTTAATAATTTTTCTTCATCTCTTTTTATTAATCTTTATTATTTTCGATGAGTTCTATATACTTGCAGCTTATGCACAGTAAATAAAACTTATTAATTCTCTTCGTTTTTCTTTTTGTCTTCATTGTGCTACATATAAAGTCTAACAATACTATATTCATATAATCACTATCAAAACAAGTAAATTTCATTACTTTTACATTAATCTAAAATTATTTCGTTGTTTTAGAAAAGCACAAAATTTACTCAACAACATAAAAAAACTCACACTAGACCGTGCACGAGTTGATGACTTAAAAGACAGATTAAAACGGTTAGATGAAGTGCTGTCTGATATGATTAAAAACATAGATGAAAGTGTGAGAAAGCCAATGGAGAGAACTTTAGAAACCTTAAAGGTTGGAAGAGGACGAGAAAGAGAAGTCAATGTAAGAAACCTTTTGAAACAAATAATTAGTACCTATATTAAATTGTCTATACACTAATAATGTAATGGTAAATTTTGCACTATAGATTGTTATTGTCCTGAATGAAATTATTAGTTTCCTTCATAAGTCAATTCATAATTCTAAATTTCATACCAATGATTACAAGATTCTAATAAAATCAATAATAAAGCTAATGATTCTTTAAGCACATTGAAAGTAAGTCTGTAAGTATTTTTGAAGTAAAGGAAAGTTCATCATATGAATTAGTTTAATAGTTATATATAGTGACATTTCACTTTTTGGGTAACCTGAAATGTTTTATAATTTCTGTCGTATAATTTTTATTATCACCATGTTTTATAACTTTTCGAAATTTACTACTTTTTTATAGGCAATTGTGGGAGAAATATACGATTTCGTTGATTCTGCTAATAAGACTTTAAAGGAGGCTGATGAATTACTTGGTTTAGCTAATGGAGCCATTATTGACGCAGCTGTAAAATTTGAAGTAAGCCATTTTTATTTTATGATTTTTATCTGTTTGTAAATAATGTATGCACTATCTTTTAAAATTACTCATTCTTCATTTAAAAACAAATGTTCAAAAATTATGGATAGGAACGAAGCCTATGACTAAAGATATACTTAATTAATATATATATATATACTTATACAAAATAAGGTCATATTCTACCAAATAGAACTAAAATAATTCATGTGGCCCCTAAACTTTCTCAATTCTTTAACTTTTTCTCTAATAAGTAAGGTAGCTCTTCAAAAAAATTATCTTAGTAATGATTTAAGTTATTATTAAAAAAATGTTTTCAAGTGTTTGAAAATTGTTTCTTCTATTACAAAATACATTTGAAGATTGTATTTTGCACTTTAAAAATTGGACTAACCTAGCAATTACTTTTCCTATTTAATTCTAGTTCTTACCGCGACTATTAAGAGATTTGGACAACGCCACCAACCAATTAGATGAACATCAAAGCATTTTAGCACGTTTGAATCCTCTGTACAAAGAAAAATATGTTATTCCAGCTCAGAAACATGCAGATGAATTGGAAAGACAAAGTGAACTCCTTGCAAAGTGAGTATTACTCTTTACTTGTTGTACAATCATAACAGTTTTTGTTTTATGACTACAGAATAAATATTAATATCGATCCTAATTATTTAGTTTATTCCGAGCTACTAAAGATTTGTCAAAACTACCTTTGGAAGCTGCAAAAGCTTATCAACGTATCGTCGATGCTATTCTTGCTGCTGACTTAGCTGCACGAGAGGCTGAAATAGCTGCAGAAAATGCATATCGCCAGGTTAGCAGAATTATTTCTTTTTAATACCTATTTGAAAAAGGCATTATTCCATTTAAATTTATAATTGCTATTATTCTATCTTCATAAGTGGATGAGCCGTGGTTGCTCAGTAGTTAAGGCACTGAGCTATTATAGTGAGTTGCCAGAGATTGAGTGGGGTTCAATCTCTGGCAACTGTTGAAAGCCCTCCCAGCTTCAGACCAATGGATACCACTCTGGTGTGTAGGTTCAATCTTGCAAGGAACTATATTTCAGCAAATAATGATGACTTGAGAAAGATAAGTTATATAATAAAACATAAGTACATTTTAAAAAATTAAAATTGTTAAACAGTACAATTTATACATAGTTATAGAAAGAGTATAGTTTATACATTATACAATATTATCTATACATTATTAGACAACTGCTTAGGCACAGAATAATGTTCTAGCTGGGGTGAAGAGAAGCCAGTTAGGTAGAATAGAAGTGCCAGTTAAGGTGTAAACAAACGTACACCTTCCAAAATCGATGCTCTTTAAATAGTAAAACTTATTCATATAGCTTCTGTAAGTTTTTCAAGTTCCCCAGGTACTTAAAATTGCTTACAAAACTCGCAGAGTAGAATTTGTTAAATGGAGGCAAGGCACTTAAGGCAACTTATGCGTCATCTTTCGGAATAACTGCTGTAATTTAATATCATAGCAAGTAAAAAATATTGCACTACCTTGTCAAAGAAGTAAAGGTGGTTAGTGAGAAAAGCTGACAATATTGCCACCATCTAACCATTGGTCACGACATCTTGGATCAACCTCCTTAACCCTTCTGGTCTACAATGGGCTGTGGTGGGAATTCTATATTTTACTTTTCACACAAATGAATTTGAATCAATAATGTTCACCAAAGGAAGATTTGTCAAGTTGAGTTTAAAAATTAAGAAATAAAATTAATATAGATTAATTTTAATGCACTTATTCATAAACTTTCGCAGTAGACTCAAGACTTCTGAATTCTTGAGTAAGTATGAATGTCATTAACTCTCATCTGTATCTGTGTCATATGAAGCGAAAAATCTTATAGTTAGCTGATAATTGACTCTAATGCATAATCCCATCTTCTATGTGAGTCAATGTCCCTCTTCCCAAAACATAAGTGAGCTGCTGTGCGAGTAACAGATGCTGATCATAATCAGATCTGTTACACACGTATAGATGACTTAAAACAGATGCTGATAAAATCCTACACAAAAACAAATACAAGCTCGCAATTTGCAGTTTTTGTTTTAATATTGTATAGTAAACAACATTATATTAAGTGACTAGGATTCCTCTTAATCCTAGATAACTAAACATTCAGCAAATAGATACAAAACTTTGCCTGTTTTAAGAAATTGAGATGTGACTGTAACACTTTAACAAGGAAACTTGCAAACTTTGAGCCAATATTGAAAACTTTGACACGAATCATTTAGCCATAATTTTAATAAATATTTAAGATTATTTCTATTAAGCTACACTAATTTGTTTCATTAAAAAATTTACATTTTTAATTTATAGAGTATGATTTAAATTCTACAAAATGAGTCTTTAGTGTAATTATCTTGGGATAAGTAATATTTTTGAATACTTAACTGAAGTTAAAGTTTCAAATTAATAAAATTTATCACTTCTTTGTACCTGTTTTGTATAAAAAGAATGCAAAATTTGGTGAAAAAATTTATATTTAAATTTTGTTATCTCTTTTTACTCAAAGAACTAATTTAAATATGTAATTAAACAACTATAAGTAGCAAGGAAATATAAAAGACATAACCACAACCAAAATTTATTTTTTCCATTCTTAAACTAACAATCATGAAATATATAGTAGCAATAATTAAAAATTACAAAACATAAGTTTCAAGATTCAGAGTGGTGAATATCGTAGGCATGGTAATTGTGATTGAGAATTCCTTTCAAATAATAAAATGAAAGCAAAAGTCACCAGAGAAAAAAAACTTATTTATACTAATGTTTATTTTAATTATGTGAAATAATCAGAAAAACTTTTATGAGAAGTATTTTGATGTAAAAAGTTGAGAGACATTAAGTAAAATTGCAGTAAATTAAAGGTAAATATTTTAAAGTTGCAAAACAATGCGTCTACCCAAATTTTGTGTTTAGAAATTTGAGATATCATATAGTATTTTTAATTTTAATGTAACAAAAAAACATGAATCTGAATAATGAACTTTGTTATAGCTTTTCAAAATGTTTGGAGTAGACCTGATAACAACTGTTAATTATTTAAATAAACTTGTTTCATAATTTAAAAAAGTGTTTTTGGATTTATATTATTTTTTTCTTCTGTTTTTATTGAATATTCTTTGTTGTTTTTATTGTAATACATTTAAAAGAATAAAACTTAACTATATTAATCCACTTTTAAAAAAAAAGAATTTTGAAAAATTTTAATCATGAAGTAAAATTGCTATTATTAAACTTATTATAGTAAAGTTATATGGAATTAATAATTCAGAAATAGGTTTTGATTACACATCTTAATCTTGAAAAATATCCACAAAACTATTTTAAAATTACATTTCAGGCCTATCCAGATATTGGGGACGCTCTTACTGAGCAGGCAGATAAAGCTAGAGCAAAAAGCCTCCAATTATTGTTGGAAGCACAGAAACTAAATGATGAGAAAGTTCCTGGTAAATGCAATTAATTTAAGTATTTCCTATTATTAACTATGCATTATAATATGGTCACATTAATTGAATTTTCTTCTTTCTAATAGAATTGGAAGAAAAAATGCGAGAAAGAAAAAATGATTTGGACAATCTTGCTGAAGATCTTGCCTTTGGAAAAAGAAGCAATGATATAATTAACCGAGAACTAGATACACTTCCTAAAGGTTTAATTATTTATGTCATGATTTTAAACTTGTGTTTTAAACCTACATGGATTTCTATATTTCTACATTACTTAGTACTAATGTAAATGATCATATTTATAGGCAAATAAAAACTACGCTATGTATTCCGTATTTACTAAGTTAGTTACTATTTTAAGATATCATTAAAAAATGGTCAGGTAAATATGTGGGATTGACAAAAAATCATGTAATTTATTAGGGATGCATAGTTAAGTTTCATATTTTGCTTTATTTAATAAAGTTATATGATTGCATAAAAAAACTCAAGAGGTAAATTTCAACAATAATCAGTGATAAACCTGTAGAAGTTCAAACCAGTATCATGAAAAGGAAATACAAAGGCCAGGCATTTAGTCTAGGAAGGTATTCCTTCAATGAACTAAGAACACTAAATCTTATGACTACCTTGATCACTATTATTTTTAAGTCATTGAAATGATAATATGTACATTCAATAATGCAGTTTTAGGTGTTTGAAATCTTGAATATCTTTTTATAATTAAGAAAAATTTATTAACAGTCTGTATAAATAATAAATTCTCTACCATAGAGTTATTTAGTTTAAACTTATGTAATACTGAATCTGAAATATTGAAGTAAATTTTCTTAGAGGTACTTAGCTATTTCTAATGCTTTTTTTCTTTAATTGGCTTTATTTTATCCTCTTCAGTGATTTCATTCCTCTTTGTTGGGATATTTAAAGCAAGAGTTTGTTTGGGCATCTACCCAGCCCAGTATGCAACTGAATTGCTGGTATTTCTCATTTTAGTTCAAGTAAAAATGGTAATGGTACTTTTTATTTACGTCGCACTAGAACTTCACAATGAGCTATTGGCCAGGGTCAGGGAAACATCCCTGAGGATGATTCGGACACAAGATACAAACGTCACATCCTGTTTCATAGGGAGGACACATTCACACACCATCCATCCGTAGATAGTAATTTTGACCTGAACCAAATCATGATCAATCTCTAAATCTAGTACTCCCAGAGATATAGATTTGTTATGGGAACTTGAAGCACTTTGTAACCCCGAGAGATTTAGCATGCACAAGTCACCATTTTGTAGTCTTTGACTGACTGATTTCCAACTCACGACCTCTCGAACATGGGCAAAAGCCCTACAAGCCAGGCTATCCCAGCCGTCAAGAAAAGTGCATAAATAAAAGTTATCAATACTACTAAACTAAACTCAGTGGAGCGACAGCCCATAGAGGGCCAAGGCTAACTGTGCCCATCTCAGTTTTCTTGACCTTGGGCTCTGGGGTGCAGGAGCAGATGTTCCGGTCAGGTGGTCAGCCGAACGCGGAACCCCCAGTGTTTAGTGCCCAAGCATGCTTGGTACTCATTTATCGATCCACTGAAGGGATGAAAGGCTGGGTCAACCTTGCCCGAGGATCGATCCAGGGACCTGTGGCACTACAGCGCGAAGGCAACCGCTCAGCCACCGGGCGTCAAAGTTATCAATAGTTATCTATTTTTAAACGCATCTGGTATTTTTATTGTTTTATTGATTTGAATTCATTGATCTGTTCATTTATTATTTTAATAAAACTTAAAATAGTAAAGAAATTTTGTATAACACTTTTTTACCCCATAGGTGTTAAACCCATTTTAGATGGTGCAGTTAGGGCAGCCAAAACAGCTGAGGATCAAGCTAATAATGCTAACAGAAGAGCTGATGAGCTCTTGCAAAGATTAGACAATGATTTAACACCAAAATTTGAATCGATTCGGGCTGGAAGTGTTAGTGGTTTAGACAATTTAACCAGAATAAGTAAGATCACTATTTTTTCATACACAGAATAAACTCATTCTGAAACATAATTCAATATTAATGGTTGGTTGCAATTTCAGTTCAGAAAGCGAGAGAAGATACCAAAGAGGCATCAAGGTTAGCTGATAGTGCAGATTCTAAAGCTAAAAGAGTCAGAAAACAGCACGAATTGACAAAATTGAATTTGAAGGAGCTTAAAGACAAAATACTGTTAGCACGCCAAAAAGCATCTAGTGTATGTCACAATTTTTACTTTCTATCTAGTATTACTATCTAAGGTTGTTAAGGCATATTACTTCTATATATTAAATTCTATTAAAGAAAAAGAATTTGATTTATTTTTATGCTTAGATTAAAATGACAAGAATTTACACAACTATTCAGTTCTGTATATATTTTTCACCATTTAGATAGTTTTTGTGTGGACTAAGTTTTATTGCTTAGAGTCAGGATTCGAATTTTAAAAGCGTTTTATGCACACAAAAAAGAATATATATATTTCCACTGAATTGATAGTTAACAGACCACAATTTCTATATGATTTTATATGAAGTATGTTCCACTGTAGTTCTTAATAATTGTGGAATTTACTGTAACTCATATAACTGGAGAGAGAACTAATCAAATTTATATATTTCAGACAAACAATTAAAGGGAAAAAAATTTGCCTCCTTGAAATTAAGCTTTATTCATTCAAGGCAGTCTAAAATTATAATTAGTTATTTTTTAAATTTCTTCGCAGTGATTTTTTTTTATTAAAATCACTTTGAAAATAACAATTATAGTTCAATAGCAGACCTTTTTTTACAAATATTTTTTTTCCCTTGCAAGCGAACATTTGTAAAAAAATTAAATTGTATCATTTGATAATAGGAATAAATTTTAGAATCCTTTTCTTGAATGTTGTTTAATACTTAAATTATTTTTTTTAGATTCGAATTGGATTAACTTCTGACACATCTGGAACTTGTATGCGATCCTATAGTCCCACTATAGAACCATCCACCACCAATAACATAGTTCTGAACTATGCAACAAAATCAAATGCTGAAGACAGCTTATTATTTTTTATTGGCAGTTCTAAAGAGGTAAGATTTGTTTCATTCCAAGTTCATGCTATAAAGTTTTATATTTTTTTATAAGGTTTTATTATTCATTAAAAATATTTAGATTGAAGTTATCTTATTGCAAAAATTATGCTCAGCAGTTTAATTGTTTGTTACATTTTAGGAAGATTTCATGGCTATTGAGATGGTAAACAGAAAAATACGATTTCTTTGGAATGTTGGGGGTGGTACTAAAGTAATTGTTCACGACAAGGAAATTGAAACAAACAATGAACAACTTTTGAAAAATAGTCAGTGGTTCAAGATTGAAGCTAACAGGTACTATTTTATAAAAAAAATATTTATCATGCCCTTATGTAGTGATTAACTCACTGCTAAAAGGCGAGTTGATCACACTTCCACTAAATAATGAAAGAAGTTAACAGATTAGAAAAAGATAAGCCGGCTCGTTAGGCTGTTTTTTTAATAGTGGGGTATATCTTTTAATATGTTTGCATTTCAACCGCTGAGGGTCATTTATATTTCTTTATAAATCTCTTATTGTTTTAAAATGTTAATAAATGTTTTTGCTGCTGTTATTACAGATTTTTTACTTGGATTTATTTTTAAGCAATTAGGGTTTGTCAGACCTATTGAGTTGCTGCTTTCAAATTTTTTTTTAAATATAAGCATGCACTAGCTATGAAGGAAACTTCCTTTATCTATACTTATCATACATTTTCAAGAATAAAATCCCAACTCAAAAATATAAAACTTTTGTTTAAGAAGAAGTTTTCAGTAAAAAATGAACAAGGATCTAGAGTCTAAGTTATGTATATTTTGAACTAATGTATTTCTGCTGTGCTATATCGGAATAGTTTTTAGAATAGCTTTATTGTTTTTGTTGATTAACAATATAATAATTTTTAATCTAATTCTAAGAGTTTATCAGTGTTTCAAAAATTGAATATGCATTAAAAACTTTAAAATATTATTAAAATGCTTTGATATTTTTTTAAATCGATATTTAATTATTGTTCAGTTAAGAAAGATGTCTCAAATATTTTTCCTTTACACCAGGATTGGCAATATTGGCACATTAAGCGTTAAAAGAACACCCGATGGTCAAAAACCTGATCCTTTAGAAGTCACTGGTTCATCACCTGCAGGATACACAAAAATGGATTTGGATTCATCCTCCAACTTCTTCGTTGGAGGTTTTCCAGACAACTTTTTAGTAAGACATAATCATAAATATATTTGAAAAATTTGCAGATAATAAGTTCATTTACAATTTTAATTCTCACTCCTGCATTTTTTTTCTTCATCTAAGAAATATAAATTTTACTGAAGTCTAATTATGTAATACTTTATTAAGCATAAAAATAACTTAATTATCCTTTAGGGAAACAGCAATTGTTCCGTGGCCTCAGGAACATGAAGTTGTTAAACCGAAATTGAGCATTTTCGACGTAATACAGATTTTTTTAAAGCTTCAACTTTTTGTGTAAAACTACAATTTTTAACGAATATGAAATTCATTAACTTTGTATGAGCATAAACCATACCTACAAACAAAGAATTATTTATCAACATATCTAAAGGGCTAAAGCGTTTCATATCGAATCTAAAACGCTAAAGTGCACATATCGCAGGTATTATGCTCATTTTTATTTTAAATATTTTTTTACCAAGAAATAAAGAATACTTTTTTACAAGCATGTTCCAATAAGTTAGCATCCCATACGTGTTATTGATTGGAGATTTAGCATTACTCACAACTCTGAATAAAAGTTTGAAGGTCATGGTTTTGGTAATGGAGGTCAAATTAAAAATCAGCATGTGTATGCTGCAAGATGCACATTAAATCATTTTGATTTAAGGTCATCCATTATTGTAGATTCTACTCTCTTTTACTGTCATTATAATTGATTTAAAATTTGTTTGAAATAATATTTTATATTTCATTTTTATAACGCACATAAATAATGGCTAATATAAAACAAAAGAAAAACCTATAAATTTTAAATATGCATTCATTTCATAGCCTCCAAGCGAGATAATTACATCAAAATTTTCTGGTTGCTTGTATGAAGTGCTTCTTGATGGCAAACCGGTTGGATTGTGGAATTTTATGACAAATTTAGGCTGTGATGGATGTAAAGAAGGGTAAATATTTGCTTGCTTACATTATAACCTTGTTTATTTAAAAAATTTTTTTAAAACATTTTTCAAGTACTTTTAACACTAGATAACAAAACATTGGACTGATTGAAATAAATTAAATCTAAATTTCTGTCAACTTTGTATTGCTGAAATGTTGCAATAACTCGTAAACATCTTCCTAGAAGTCAAAAGTTTAATTATACCACTCCTTCATAATTTAGTGAAATAAAAAATTGCTTTCCTTAAGGAATAATGTGTTTTAAATAAAGAAAGGAAATATAAAAATATGCACATTTTAAATTTGTGACCAATTTCTAATTTTAAGTCAAGTTTTCTACTACATAACATTAAAATAAGTATAATAAAACAAATAATTAAAAATTATAGTATATGTTTCTAATGTTTGCTTTCTTTTTAGAGCAACTGAAGATATTGATATCAGTGCTTATGAGTTCCAAGGCGGGAACAGTTATGCCATTGTTCCTCAGACCCCATTTTATAAAAAGAGTGCTTTATTTGCTGACCTGAGTTTTAAAACATTGAATGAAGATGCTTTATTATTCCTGGTTTGCAATAATGAAAAAGTAATTAAACACAATATTCAAGTATATTAACCCAGTTTTATGCTCACCAAATTTTGTTTCAATGTTTATTTTTTGTTTACTTGCTCTGATTTATTTCCTACTTCTTATGCTTCTTTTTATTAAATTCATATTTATTTAGCTATTATTTACTTGTACTTGTATATTTGTGGGTAACTTATGTAATTAATTTTATCTATCTCCAAATATTGCTCATTTTTACAAAATAAATTGCCAATTAGCCTTTAAAAATTTCAACAATTTTGTTACGCTTATAAAAATGGAACATCTTGAAGTCTTTAAAAATATAATAAATATTAGATTTACAGAATGAGTAAATAAAAACAGAAAATGCATAGATAAAAGAAAAGATTTAAAATACATTATTTTGTCAATGTGTTGTGCATTATGTGATTTGATTATTAAATTAAGTAAAACTACACTTATTCATGTTTACATAAATGAAAATTAATTTACGTGCATTATGTTATTAAAAAAATATGAGTCAAGATTTTGATATTTGTTTTTTGCTGAAAAAATAATAATTTAGGAGTTGAAACATAACTTGCCTATTTGTTCCTCTCAGAAGGTTTACAACGATTTAAACAAGCACTGTTTGATTTTAGTTCATTCAAAAATGCATAATGATATTTGTGTTTAGATTAGAAAATGTAAGTTTTAATTACTGCAATAACTTTTCATTTGACTCAGTCAACTTGCTTAAAATGATATAAAATTTCACAGAAACCTTAAGTAATAAATAGATATATATAATGGAATAGTGAACTGCAAACATCACTGTTAGTTTATGCTAAATTATATTTATCCATTTTCTGTCTGTTATTTTCTTTTTCAGATTTTTTCGTTTGGTAGAGCAAAATATTTATTGATGAGCTAAAAGAGTTTATGGATATTTAAATTCTTAACATATTTTTTAGATTTAAAATTTAGTTAAATTTAAGTTGAGCATGTACAAACAAAACTTTTTAAAGCAATATTAATTTTTTACAAAATAATACATTGTAATCAAGTTCTTTATTTAAAGCATGTAATTAGTAGATTAGTTGCAAGCAAAATAAATGTACTTAGTGTCATTGATGACACCCAATTTATATATATATTGTTCCAAATGATTTTAGGGTCACATGATATCCTTAGAGTTGACAGGAGGTAAAATTGTTTACCAAATAATGTTTGGGAATCGAAACCATATTCGAATTGAGAGTAAAAAGAAATATAATACAGGAGAATGGGTGTCTGTTGAAGCTGCTAGAGAAGATTTTGAAGGTATAATTATTTGTTAATTCTACATTTGTAAATAACATAATATTATTATCTCTGTTATAATTGCTTGCAAGGTAGTGCCACAAAATATTTATCACTTAAATGTTTTTATAAACTGTATTTCAAATATAAATCTTAGAACTAAAATAATTGTAACAATTATATATAATTAATATAATATATAATTAATGTAATACATAATATAATAATATATATAATTATAATAATCTGTCTGCTAATGGCATCAGTCATTAAAATCTCAGAGAATAGAACTTTTAAAAATATTGATCAAAGAATCAGGCAAAATTAACAGTCACCACTGGTGACAGAGCAACTAAATATAAAATATACAAAAAATTGTCTGCCAATCTTCACTCGATTGCCACTTTTTCGTCAAATATGCACTCGATGAGCGTTTCATTATTATTTTTAATAAATATGGAATATTTTATTATATTATGAAATTTACTTTATTTTGCACTTTTTCATTAACATTTTTTTTTCATTTTAGAAATGATCCTTGTACTGTTTATTATATTTTGAGAAATGCTTTACATTATTTATATCAAAAGCTTTTTTAATCAATTAAAAGATTCAATTTTTTAAAAAAAAGTGGCCACAGATAAAAATGCTACAACTGGCCAGCAGCGAAATTTCTTAATTTAGCCCTATACTCTTAGTCATTTTAACGAGAAACAAATTAAGAATTTAAAATAATTAATTGTAATTAATAAAAAAATAGCCTTCTGCACTATAAAAGTGCCTTCTGAATCTGCCTCATTTTAAAATAAATAATTTTTTTCAACTAAATTTTCCTTTGCAGACTTTATTACAACTTGAGCAGTTATTTTTTTCAAAAGACTAGATATCCCTCCTTGGTACAACTGACACACCAAAGACCATAGTCGACACAGTATAAGTTCAATGTACATAAAAATGAATAGAATGGACCTTTTTTTTAAATTCATTTTTGCTGCTTTACTTTAAGAACTATAACAATTTATACTGAATTGAATTTTAAATGTAATTTTTTCAGCTCAAGTTACTGTACAAGATGAAATTCTGGATGACACGTTCAGAGGAGGTTCTTCTGATTTGGATCTTAAACACAGCTCTCTGTATTTTGGTGGAGTACCACCAAACTTCACAAAAGAAAGGTAAAGCATACAAATTTATCATAAAGTGTATTGAAGTGTGACACTATTTTTATGATTCATTATTATTGAAAATTATTATGAATCATAAAAATTATCTGTATCTGTATTTTGGCGGAATACCACCAAACTTCACAAAAAAAAGGTAAAGCATACAAATTAACTATATGAAGAATATAAAGTGTAATGAAGTATGACACTATTTTTATGATTCATTATTAATGGAAATGTTTTTTTCATATCTGCATCTTATCTCTGAAATAAAACTAATTTGTAAAGCAGCTTTTTTAAATTTTTCTCCCATGGATTGCAATCTAAGTTTAGGTTATGAACTTAACTTAATAAATTGCTGAATTGTTATTATGGAAACATAAACGTTTGTTTAATACAGCATAATATTTTGATTTATTCCCATTGAAAGTGGATTTATAATATATTTCATCTATAAGAAAAATAATGTAATTAATAAAATATATATTTTTTTAACGCAATAATTCAAACAATTCTCATTGAAAGTGAATTTAATGCAAAACATAAAATGCTTCAAACTATTCTCATTGAAAGTAAATTTACATTTTATGTAGTAAAATGTATTTCATACATAACACTGATGATTAATTTTCATTTTTTGTTTAATGTAAGTAAATATATGAAATTATTTTCACTGAAGCTGAATTTTATTGTAAAATACATTTTATATACAGTAAAATATTTTGAATTCTCAAAGTTTCTTCATGAAAGTTATTTTGTATGGTAAAATACACTTCATCAATAAGTAACATCATTATCAATGCTACATTTTTTATGTTTCAGCTGGCCAGGAGTTACATTTACCAATTTTTTTGGATGCATGAAGGACTTGCAGTTGGATGCAACTCCTGTTGATCTATCTAAAGGAAGCTTTTATGGAATGAATGTTGGATGTTCAAATAGGGTAAAAAAATTGTTTGTTTAATATTAATTACGTTTGTTTGTTTCATTTCTCTAAGTATATATCTTTTCTAAGCATACATATTTCTAATATACGTATATCTTTCTTCATTTAAGCTAATAAAATATTTTTTCATAAACAGCCTATGAAAATTGCTACATTTAATGGAGGAAGTTACCTAGAGCTGAATGGTCATGCTTTACCCATGGATTCTGGCATTAGCTTTTCTTTCATGACAAGTCAAGCTGATGGATTGTTAGTTTTATCAACTTTCAAAGGACAAAATCGAGCTAGTACTAAGGAACTGCAGGTAATGTTACTAAATGCATATTTTTATATATACACTGAGTGGCCAAATTATTATGACCACCCCTTCGGTCGTCTGCTTCCATACCCTATATGTGCGTCGAACAGTACGTTCAGAGACGTTCACAGTTGCTCCTTGATTAAGATCACTTGCTATTTGTCGCACTGTTGCTCTCCTGCTGCGTTGAACAATCCTGGTCAGCCTTCTCTCTGATCGAGCATTCAGTACCCCGTGACGACCACAAGTCTGACGTTGAGATCCGGTTTTTTGCTTGATTGTCCATTCTTTGTACACATTAACAACTGACAACTGCTGCTCTAGAACACTTCACAAGGGCAGCCGTTTTGCTGGTGCTCGTTCCGACACATCTCGCACCCACAATCATTCCACGTTTAAAATCAGTTAAATCACTTTTCTTTCCCATATCTGAGCAAGCAACACAGTATAACTGATGACTCACTTATCCAGCATTCCCGTGTTATGGTTATCTTGCCCTCTAGCGGCAACGCTGTGACACAATAACTCATTTGCATAAAACTCTGAGGTGGTCATAATAATTTGGCCACTCAGTGTATATATTAGATACATTAAAAACTTTTATTGCACAAAATGAATAAAGTAGTGAAGAAAATATGCTAAGTGTGCACAGCAGTGAGTTTCAGGTAACCATCTGTAGAATGTGTAAATGATTTCAGTGTTAGAAAATTGTTGTTATATTTAATTTAAATGCTAACCTGCTATTACAGCTACGTCAATGTGTTACTAGTGACGGTTTAAAATTTATCCTTAGTGATGATCCAAAGACAAGACTGGTACATGCACATAATAAACCACAAAATTTAGATCAAAGAACAGATAGTGGTAGTAATAATGCAGCTTTCATACCATGCATCTTAACCACTCAAACGTGCATGTACATTTCCTATTCTGAAAGGGCCAGCTACATTGAAGCAGAGTGGATTATAAAGTACTGAAAAGTACAATCTGACCACAGACCCAGTCTTTAACACTTTGCAGCAGTGATGGATCAGGGGATAGAGCATTTGCCTTCCAATGAGGTAAACCAGGTTCGAATCCCAGCGATGGCTGGTCAATACGAATCTGTATCCGACTTGCATCGACCATAGTGCTGACATGAAATATCCTCAATGGTAGACAGATCAGGGGTTAGAGTCCTTTTGCCGTCAGGCTTACTGTGGGAAGTTCTCGTGGTCTTCCTCTCCATGTAACACAAATCCGGGTTAATATCATCAAAAAGTCCCTCACGAAAGCAAATTATGCTCCTTATACTTGATCTAGGAGTCTTTGGGATTGGGTTCCAAATTACAAGACTGCGGAGTTAAACATTAGTAGTGTTATACCGAAAATTGGGCCGGCTGTTCAACGCCGGTAATAAATAAAACTTCGCAGCAGCGCTATCTGGCCTTGAGACATGGAAACTCTACCCAGGACACTACCTGGCCAGCATCAGTTTGAAATAACGTTCATTTTTCATATCTGATTACAGCATGTTCTGAATCCATAAAATTTTTTAAAATTTCACGTAATATGTTATTCTGCTAATTGTTGGAATGACACTTAGCGTGTACTTCTAATTTCTGAAATGTCACTTAATATGATCTTCAAAATTTCACTTAATGTGCATTTCTAAATTTTAAAATGTCACTTAATATGTTCTTCTGCTAATTTTTGAAATTTCACTCTATATGTTAAATTGAACTTTTAGCCACAAGTGAGTCCCACTCTCTCAGAAATTTCTTTTTTAAGTAAAACAATTATATTTAAACTTTATTTTACAAGAGTGGATAACATTTGATAGACGAAAGGAATATTTAATTATTGCATCGAAAATAGTTTAATGCAGCTAAATACTAGCAACTCATCAAAAATAAAAACAGTTTCTTACGTACGCATTTTGAATTCATGTTTGATTGGTTTAGTTTCAAAGCAATTTTTGAATTATAAAATATAGAGGAATTTAAAAATTTATTCAGGTTTGCTGCAGCCTTTTCACTACTCAATGTAATGTACCCAAAATAAGCAGTTACATTTAAAATTAATTTTACAACAAGTGTTTAAAGTTTGTTTGGGGAATATTTAAATAACATATATAAAATAGTTTAAAACAGCTAAAGGCTAGTTACTTATAAGCAGTAAAATTGTGTTTAAATTAATGCTTGAATTAACTAAGTTTTTATTAGTTTAATTAAGCAACTGTTGAAATATGCAATCTAAAGGAATTCAAAATTAAACTTAGTCCCATACTATATTAAAAGTAATAAATACCTCAAATTTGACTATTTTGCCATAATTCTTCTTCAACGATGAAAGGACAGTTAAGAATTCTTGTGTGCAATAGCAGACTGTTTAGTTTACAAGAAAAACCTATAAAATAATATTTGGGAGAAGTAAGAAATTAATATATGTTACTTTTACTTTTAGAATTACTATTCCATAGCTTTAAAAGATGGAAGAATCGTTGCCATTTTCAATAGTGGAGATGGAGAAGTGCTAATAACTTCCGAGAGAACACTGAGTAGAAATGCGTTGCATACAGTGAATATAATTAGAAAAAACAGACGGTAAGTTTTTTATTTCAATATTTAGAAGTTATTTTAAATATTTAAGAAAAGTAAGTTGTTACGTCAACTGTGTTTGGATTTTCATGTGTTAAAAAACTGGTTTTCTTTTATTTATTTATAAAATCTTTAAGTCCAGAATGTTGGGAAAATACATAAAAGTATGATTAACAGTAAAGTAGGAAAATATTTTCAGCAAAAGCTAAACTTTTTGAATGGCTCGATTCTAAAGTATTTATATTTCTATTCTAATGAATTTTTAAAAACAACATTAAAAGTTTGTAAGATGTATGCGGGAGCGGAGTTATCGACCATGCCAACCTTCATCTATCAAAAGGTACCTCATGATTGAATCAAGTTAGCATGTCTTATATACCAGTGATTTGATGTTTGTTATTCGTAATGGTAGTTATGCCACAATACTCCCCCACCAGAATTTTATCAGGGATAGAATTCGATGAACGGTTTCCACTTAGTTGCTGTACTTGTGAAAGACCGGGAGAGCTGGAGTTAAGATCACCGGCTTTTTGAGTGCTGAATGTGAGAGGTGTATTAATTTCACAGTTGTAGTCTCTCCTGTGTTGACATTAGCAGTCGAGTGTATGCAGGCAGACGTTGTGTTTAATCGAGACGAGACTGAGTAGCAACAGCACGAGAAGGTGGATAATGCCGCTATCACAAGTAGCTACTCAACTGTTCAATGTGGATCATCCATCGAAGTAGGCGTTACTGACAAGAGATTGCGAAGTAGGCGTTACTGCGTGATCAAATCACGTCCGGGTCACCAATGCGGGGGGCGGAGTTATCGACCATGCCAACCTTCATCTATCAAAAGGTACCTCATGATTGAATCAGGTTAGCATGTCTTATATACCAGTGATTTGATGCTTGATATTCGTAATGGTAGTTACGCCACAATGTACATAAGTATGTTTGGTGTGAAAGTAAGCACAATTGTTATTTAATGCTAATTGTTTAGAAATCGAAATTTTTGGAAAGTCATTTTTAGTTTTATTAAACTGTTATTAATTGCAATATTTAAACACACTTAAATCACCTAGTGATGTTTAAGCTAATGTACAGTCCGCAAAAAAAAAAAGATATCACCCTGAATAACTTCCGTTCTAATGATCGGATTTTCACGAACTAAGTGTCAATCTTAATGGTTCCGGGGATGACCTCAAATATGCTAATTAATTAGTGCTAACTATTAATTAAGTTACGAAATCAGACACAAAAACGTACTTTCTCTGAATAAACATGTATTTTTTTTTACAAATTTGGAATCCAGACACTTGAATTAGGGGGGGTAGACAAAATTTTGAAAAAATTGGGTCTTAAATTGGGTCACAATAAAGGTTTATATATTTGGCGATAGTCCAGAAAACTGCCAAAAAAAGTCGCCTGCGCAAATTAATATTTTAAGGTAACCCATTGACTAATTCAAAAGAAGAAGACTTAATTTCACTAGGTTGCTTAGCAACAAATTTCTGACTGTAAAAAGAAATTTAAATAATGCTCTGTGATTGCTTGGAGTGGTTTAATAAAAATATCTCCAGGTTAATAGAAAGTTAATAGAAAATATCTCAAAGTTTCTAGGATATAGACAACTTTTAAGCTAATTTCTGTCCAAAAAGCAAAACTTTTTTTTATTTTAATCTCCTTTGAAAAGAAAATTTGAATCGATTTATAAATTATTTGACTTTCTAAATTTTTAGAATTTAAATACATGAGCTTTTTATCTGATATTATTTAGATTATGTTGTTTTTGTTATACTTATTCGAAGATTTCATACTGAAATTAAAATAACATAACTTATTATGGCTATATACAAAATTTTAGGGATAATCATTTTTACAGCTTTAATCGAGTGTTCTAGGCAAAAAAAGTGCTTGAAAAATAAAATGTATATTGTATAGTAATTCTAATGCGCATTCACAAGGTTTTCTATAATTTACGATACTTCTTTTTTCTATAACTCAAGGAATTGTTTAGTGGTATTTTAAAAACAATGAAATATGTTATGTTTAAGAATAAGATATTGAAATGATATGTTGCATATTGTAAGATTCATTGTTTAAAAAATCGCTTCAGTCTGTTAGATATTTAGGTTACAAGGCTTTCTTTGGATAAAGATGATTAGCAAATACCATCCTCATCTTTCGATACATTCTGAAACTTACATTCGCAAATTCACAATAAAATGTCGCACAGCACATTCTTCAAATACTATTACAGCTACATTTACCACCAAATACTGCTACTATGATTATTTTTGTTTTCTTATATATGTTACCGGCAAAGTATGAAATGCCGGTATTGAATAGAATGTATTCTATACAATGCCGGATGTTTTTAGGCAAAGTATGAAATATGAGAGGTTTTCTTATATATGTTTTCTTATATATGTTACCGGCAAAGTATGAAATGCCGGTATTGAATAGAATGTATTCTATACAATGCCGGATGTTTTTAGGCAAAGTATGAAATATGAGAGGTTTTCTTATATATGTTTTCTTATATATGTTACCGGCAAAGTATGAAATGCCGGTATTGAATAGAATGTATTCTATACAATGCCGGATGTTTTTAGGCAAAGTATGAAATATGAGAGGTATTACATACTTTCCCTAGGCATTCTATAGAATGACAAATGTTATTTAGGCAAAATATGAAAAAAACATACTGATGAGGTCATTATGTTATATTAATGATGTGCATGTTACTGTGAATGACCGAAATCGGTGGTTGTTGATTTTCACCGGTGAATGTTGACCATCACATAGTCGCTTTGAATGTCCGAAATATTTATTACATCCGATTTGATATTAATTTATTCGTGGATATAATTACATTTATTCGATATTTTAATACTTACTGGTGATAGATTAGAAGAAACATCAGTGTTTGGAGTATCAGGCTAATATATATCGGGCAATGGCACTGAACCTTAAAAAAACATCGGTGTAGGATATACCGGGCAAATGTATACTGGGCAAATGTATACCGGGCAGTGGCACTTGACCTTAAAAAAACTTCAGTGTAGGGCATACCGGGCAGTGGCACTTGACCTTAAAAAAACATCAGTGTTTGGCATACCAGGCAAATGTATACCGGGCAGTGGCAATTAACTAGAACTAGTATGACTAGACCTTTGGTAAATGTCCGAAATATATACTAGGTCTAGTAAAGTGCCACAGCCCGGTATATCCTATACTGATGTTTTTCTGTGGTGATTAAAAAATTACTTTTAAGATTAAGACGATATATAAGATGTTGAGAAATTTACAATGATGTTAGAGATGCTTAAAAATGTTGACTACTTATTTTTATTAATATTTGTAAAAAATATGTTCAAGAAATTGATAAATATTTTATTCCAAATCTAATCATACGTATGTATATTATAGAAATTGTATCAGTTATTGAGAAAAAAACTAAAAAATAATCACATTAAATAAGCAAAATCTGGTGTATAATCATATTCTATCACAAGCATGCTTTTATTAAACTCGACATTCGTTGATTAAAATGTTTTGTTCAAATTTCGTTACTAAATTGCAAATAGAATTTTAGACGACTGAAAAAGAAATATCGTATTTTATAGTTTAAAAAAAATAAAAATGAAAAGATTAGCAAACGATTATTAGCGAAAAAAATATGAATCAAATTTTACGCCACTCGCGCTAAGTCTAGTTCCTCGTAGGTTTATCACATTTTAATATTAATCGCCCCATTAAATCATTTCTTCATTGTCGCCAAATTATTATTTTTTAAATAATTAATTTTGATTTTTCTCATCTTCTAATAAATAAAAACAATAGAAACTTCAGATTTTTCAATAGAAAAATATGTAAATTAAAATGGTATAAAAAAATCCTTACCTTATAATTCAAAATTTTTCCATCCTCACTTTAACTAAATAATAATAAATAATTATAAAAATTTATTTTTTTCATGAAATTATCTTTGGGTAAATGAATTTTATGAGTGGGTGCAATTTCTTTTTCAATTGCTTCATTAGTTTTTAAAATATGACAGAAAACGCAAAAAACGAAATTAACATTAAGGGGTCTAAACTTTGAATCACTCTCCTGACCAAACTATGGGGACCACATTTCCCAGATTGCGGCTACCCTCTATATTTTGGAGATAAGGAATCCAAATATGCAAAAAAAATTACATGTTTATTCAGAGAAAGTACGTTTTTGTGTCTGATTTCGTAACTTAATTAATAATTAGCAGTAATTAATTAGCTTATTTGAGGTCACCCCCGGAACCATAAGATTGACACTTAGTTCGTGAAAATCCGATCATTAGAACGAAAGTTATTCAGGGTGATATCTTTTTATTTTTTTTGCAGACTGTACAAGACAATCAAAAATGACTATACTAGAAAAAAAATATTGGCCAAATTAAAAAAATTCTTTTGATTTAAAAATTGTGATAGTAGGATGTCATAGTCACTATTTTTTACATCAAAAAAAAAAAAAAAACATCTGTTTTGTTTCATTTTGTTAGCTATCTATTGATCAATCAAACTTGGGTAGTGGAGCTATCAATATGCATTGTCACAAAGATGGTCATATTAATTTTTATTTATTGAAAGAGAAATTAAAGATGTTTTGCATTCAATATGTGATAAAATTGAATGAAATAGTGGTTTAAATAATTTATTAGAAACTTATGTTAAACCAAATGATTTATTGTCATTAGAAGCACTTTGTTATGAAAGTGGGAAAAAAATTTAAACATATTTTTGAAGCACGTAATTTTCATACAGAAAAATTAATTATTTTCGGTCACTATATTGGATTGAAACATTCAGTGCAGCCTTTAAAAAAAACTTTTGTCTTAGAATAGTAAATGAGATTGTATTTATTGCTCATTTTAATAGAAGGATACTCGTAACTGGGAAGGAGAGTTGGACAAAAGAATGTGAAATGTAGTTAAGGTTCTATTCCATTTTTTTTTATTAATATTTTAACTTACATATAAAATTTTAAAAATGTATTCAAATGATTATTTTTTTGCACAGATTGGCATTGCGATTGGACGATGAAGCAGACTCAGATATTCGGTTGCCAAAAGGAGCTAAAGAAATTCTAAGTCCAAAAGAAGGCGGTCTCTTTTTTGGAGGAGTCAAACGAGGTATTGATGTTGGAAGTATGGCTGCAAGTCAACAGCCTTTCATTGGAGTAATTCAAGATGCTATTTTTAATGACAAGTAAGAATAAAAAATATCTCATGGTTTTCCCTAATAATCACCTTTAAGGCACATTTTTAGAATTTTTGTAAAAAATAAGGGAAAAACTAAAAGTATTAGGTGTTGCTAATAAATACTTAAATGAGAAAGCACAAACTCATTTTTAAATTTTGTTCTAACACTATTTAAGTAAATTCTGTTTAGAGTAGATTTATTTGGAGCAATCGCTATTTAGAGCAAAGAAAGAATTAAAATACATCAAAAATCAGATTTTTTGAAGATCAAGCCTGAAAGTGATTCTAACAAAAGAGAAATACACGTACCACAAGAAAAATAATGATTGTTCAGAATTTTTCTATTTAAATATTTGTTTGAAATTATTAATGTGCATTATGTTTTTACTTTACTTCTCTAAGTTTTCCAAAATTACTATTAGGTACCAATATTCTGTATTTGTCACAACCTAAATGAAGTTTTTTTAAACTGCTTCTTTTAATTCTTAATGTGAAGTGTGAAGTTTATTACCTGCTACTTGAGTTTTTTTTTCTCTTTCACTTGTTCTTTTATTCTCAATAAGAAAATCATTGAAATATTATACAACACTTAAATTGTATTCTTGTGACATTGATTTATTTTTACTAATAACAAGTATATTTGCTAATTCCTGCAATATCATATTTTTGTGAAAATGTTATTTGCTTTATGCTTGAAAATATTGCTTTGATCAATTAACAATGCTTCTCCATCTTTATTAAATAAAAGTTATTTATTTTACTCTGATAAATTTTAGTTTAAACAGTAATGTACTACGATATTCTTTGAATAAAACAAAACAGCACAAATAAAGGAACATAAATGCCCCGCTATTTATGCTTTATTCACACTTAGTGCAACATTTTCTTTATTCATATGCAGCACAAACTGCATCCTATCCACATATTGACACTATATTCTTCTTATCGATTTAAACACTAAAGAATTCAGAAGCACCAAATTTAATTAACGACTTATAAATAAATTCTTTAAAAATCTATGCACTTCAATTGGAGTTTTATGTTTGATCACATTTCTTTTTTTAGTATCAAGTTCATTTAATTATTCTCTGCAGGTTATTAAGATTTGAAAGTGCAATTAATCACAAAGGTGTTGACTTTGGATTACCTCCAGACCAACAGTCTGTTATGGAAGAATTCTTCTTGCAAATGGCACCATCTCTTCCAAATGAACATTGTGCTCCAGATCTTAGAGCAGAAGAAAATGCCGTCAGCCATCAAAGTAGGAGACCGATTCATATTCCACAGAACAAGAAGGATATTATACTCAGGTAATTTATAATACAACAACCTAAAAGTTGAAATATAAGAATATATATAATTTATATTACCTACTGCCATGATACTGAGTTTTAAATCGAATGCTTAAAATATCTTAGACTTAATTTTATATTTAATATTCGATGAAATAGTATTGCTTTACACATAATACGATGTCTGTCATAAATTTGTACTAGCTCGATTCTAGTTTTGATAGAATTTGGATGTATTTCCTTTTAAAATTAATTTAAAAACATGCTGGTAGTGATATACAATTTTTTTTCTTTATACTACAACACTAATGGTTCCAGTTCAATTATAAAAAATTGTATTTGCAATAAAATTATAATTTCATACATTTATATTTTTTTATCCTTTCAAGTGACAATATCTCTTCTTTACAGCTTTAATATGTCTTTGGAATATAGAACATTTTATCCAGATGGAAATATCATTTCACTTTCAAATGAGCCAAAGAAATTACATTTATCAATGTTCTTAGAAAAAGGAATGATAAAGATGCATTATTCGTACAGAAAGGAAAATAAAACTGAAAACAGTAATAAAGAATTAATGATTGGAAAGTGGCACAAGGTAATGAACATTTACTTCAATTTTATATTACAATAAAGGCTAGAAACTTGTTCCGTGTATTTATAAAGCTTTTTAAAGTATATGTCTTCTTAAATACTATTTTTTTTTAAATTGATAAGTATATAAATACAATAAATAATGTAGGGAAACTAATATAAAAAATAACAGTAATAAAATTCTGTCAAAAAAAATCATCCTAATATTCTTTTTAATAATGAGAGACTTTCTCTGTCCAACTTCTCAAATATTTCTTTTAATTCAAATTTTTAACTTTAATTTAAATTTTTTTTCTATCAGGATCTATTTAAAAATGAAAATTTTTTGACAATATTATAACAATAAAATATGAAGTTTATATATTAAAGATTGATTTTATTTTCTAACCCTTTTTATAAAATAAGATTAAAAACCAATGAAGTCCTGTTACCATAACAATTTTGGTAAATTCAGTTATGGTTTAAGGATTTTTTTCACATGGATTAGTTTCAATAACTTTATGTATGAAGATGTTCATAAAATTTTGTTTTAGTTTGCTATAAAAAGGCCTTTAAAGTTTTATTGCCAAGTATAAGCCTTTAATTTTTTTTTAGAATTATTTAGTAGATGTTTTATGCCCCAAAAAATCATTTAACACTATTGGTTCGCAATTTTTAATACTTATTTTGTATTAATAAATTTGATGATAAGTTTATCAGACACAGTCAATTATGAAATTTATTAAAAGGTAAATATAGCTGATTAATTATTCAACAAAATTAAAAAGAAAAGCAGAAATATCTCTGTAGTGTTAAGTTTTTAATTTTCACAAATAGACATAATTGAAAATAAATATACCACAAGTTTACTAACTTATAGCAGATGAAAGCATCTTGATTTTCTACCTTTTTTGAGATCAAGTTATGTGATTTTCTTGACTATAGAAGAGGAAAAAACCAGAATAGTTGTTTAGAAGTATATAAATAAATAAATGAAAAAGTAGCATAAAACATATCTGTTTCATCTGTTTAATGCTTATAACTTCCAGTTAGGATGTTTTTTTATTATTTATTTTTCTTCCTAAATATGTTTAGGCAGCCATCAGTTTGTGCTTGAGTGCTTCGTTCCTATTATTTTCTAAATATTTCTTATTACTTTTGTAATAAACTCATATCTCATTTAAAAATCATAAAATACAATCATAATTTTATTGATTTATATTTAAATTAACAAAATACACCATTTTATTTTAGAACTGTTAAATGAAATGCATGCATAATTCATGCTTAATAATATCTTTCAGATCGATCTTTTAAAAAAAGGAAAACACTTGACTGTTTTCTTGGATGATCACCATAGTGTATTACTTCCTGTTCCTAAAAAACTACCATTTAAAAGTCTCAATATAGGAGGCATACCATTGACATCTTCAACCCACAATGAGGTGAGCATTTAAAATTTTTTATTAATTTTGCTTTCAAGCTCTTCATTTTGAAAGTTATTTAATAAAATTTAATCATTTACAGTTTTTACAATAATTTTAATAAATTAACAATTTTATTTAGGAAATAGCAATTTATTTTGACTTATAACCTCTATAAAAACACTTTTTAAAACCATTTCAAAAATAAAACACTAAGATACTGTTATTAAACTGGGATACTGTTATTTATCCACATTTCATTAAGATACTGCAATTTTATAACTGTATTCTAGATACTATAACCTACAAGTTTTTACTTTGTGCTTAGCCTTATGAAATTGTAAAGAAGGAATTACAATTTTTAAATAAGTCTATTAAAATGATCAAAACATTATTTGAAGTTTCTTGTTACCCATTTTAAAAATATATACATATGTAATAAAATGATAGGTGATTTCTGCAACTTTAAGCCAATGAAGTACATTTCAATTTCCAAATTGTAAACATTTGCCATATAATTGACTGCTGACTTTACTGTAACATATATTAAAATACTGAACAATTAATAATATTTAATTCATAATTTTAAGAAACTTCAGGACGATTTTCTCTGCATTGGCCAAATCATTTCTTCTAAATTGTAACAATCAGATTTTTTATTTTCTTATGCATATTTTATGTAAAATTTCTCTTAATGAAAATATTACAGTAAGCACATTGTTATATAACATTTTCAATAACAAAAAAGTTTATCTTTAAAATAGTTTTATTAAACATCCAATAGTTTATTTACATAAAAAGAGGAAAGGAGGAGAATATTGCCATTTTCAGGCACTTTATTTCTTTCAACTCTCAATTAAAAATTTTCAACTCTTTACATATAGTAATGGTTTTGATAATTTGGAACATGCTCTCTGTCCCACAACTCGTTCTATAAAGAAACATAGTGCATAATTCTTTGATATAAACAATATCAAACATCAACTTATTTTATTAAATTCTTATTTCAAGTTATTTTGAAATTTTTATGACATGAGTTGAGTAATCAGTTTTTACACACAAAGATTTTGTTGAGTTGCAGTTTTTGTTAATTTTAAAAACGGAATTAATTGAAAAATTCTTTGCTGCACTAAAAGCATAGCTAGGGTACATATAGCACCTGAGGGCAAACTTAGCTTTTGTGCCCCAATGCAATATGATGTCAGACTAAGATAGTTTGTTTTAAATTATTTTAAAACGGAAATCCATCACACTTGACATTGGATTGTTAATACAGGGTTTTTATAAAGTCCCGGACCCATTTTGATGTTTAATAACTCATAAAATAATAAAGATAGATTAAAATTAATAACATAAATGGATAGATAGACTCAAAAAGTTTCATGACCCTTGTCAATGAACTTCCATGTCTGCCCCCTTCGTCGCATTGAGAATATCAAGTCGATAGTCAATTTCACGCCAGGTAGAGGTACTAGTATTTTCTGAAGCGCATAATGTTCTCCAACGAAGCATCCTTTCATGTTTCTGACATTGTTAATCACCAAAATGTGCGCATATGAGAATCTGAAAACCCCCATGAATACCGTGAGACACAAAGGGATTCCCCAAAGGTTAATGTGTGGTGTGGACTAATGCACGATCGAGTCATTGGGCCTTTCTTTTTTACAGAAAAGACGGTCTCATCAGTCGTATACTTAAGACATGTTAGAAAACTTCGTATTTCCCTAACTAGAAGAGCTTCAGCCACATGTCTTTTTGCAACAAGATGGTGGACCACCACATAGGGGTATCATCGTTCGTAGTTCTTTGAATGATCGTTTTCCAGGAAGATGGATTATGGGTGAGGAGGTCCAATTCCTTGGCCACCCAGATCACCTAATATAACGCCGCTGGACTTTTTTCTTTGGGGATTTATAAAGGACAATGTTTACAGGAGGATCGTGTCGAACATTGATGACCTAAAAGCCAGGATTACAACCGCAATAGCCTCTGTGGATGTCGACAAGCTTGCCGCTACTTGGCGTGAAATTGACTATCGACTTGATATTCTCCGTGCGATAAAGGCGGCACACATGGAAGTTCATTGACAAGGGTCATGAAACTTTTTGAGTCTATATAACCATTTAAATTATTAATTTTAATCTATCTTTATTATTTTATGAGTCATTAAACATCAAAATGGGTCCGGGACTTTATAAGCACCCTGTATTTTATTTTAATAACATAATTTAACTTTAATTCTTTTTTTAAAAACAACGTAACATGACAAGGTTATACATTTTCATTCGATTTGGTTTTCAATTTAAGTGTACGTTACACTTAGATGTTTTTGATAGATTGAATCATTGCGATAAGCACTTACTCTGAGGCATTTGACATTGAATATGTTGCTAATTTGTTAAAATTAAAAAGAGCTGCAAGCAATGCAAACTCCAAAATAAGTATCCTATTCAAATTTTAGTTAAATGGGATAAATGTTTGAGAAGTTGTGGGACTTGTAACCATTGAATGAAATTGAAAATATTTAAAAGAGACTAACATTTTATTTTAGAATTTATTTTTTATGAATTTAGTCCTCTTCTAAGTCTGTGCTTGGGGACAAATGTTCCCTTTTGTCCCCTTCTAGCAATGCCACTGTGTTGCACTGAGATACTGCATTCAGTCATTTAGATAATTTTCAACTTATTATTTTTATTTTACTTATAGCTTTTGAGAAGTTTTAAGGGATGTTTCCGAAACTTGGAAATCAATGGAAAAGACAAGAAGATACCATCTGATATTTCTTGTTTTAAACATGTCGATTTTGGAACCTTTTTCACTGGAAAAAGCTACGTGGAACAAGGTAATAAATAAAAAAAAATTGTTTTCACCACACATGATGCATATTTTTTTATTTTATTCAAAATTAATTGTCGAAGTTTCTTACATTAAAAAAAAATTAACATTGTATTTTTATTTTAGTATCTAAAATGTAAGAAAAATATATTTAAAAGAAAAACTTATCACAAATAAAAACTAAGGCTAATTTTTGAATCGCTTAGCTAATATTTTTTAAAAAAACTATTTATTTGAATATTTTTACATTAATTTTAATTTCATAACTATGAAAGATAATAGGGTCCTATAAATTATGCAATAAATTGAAACTGCCTGCATAATCACTGAATATTCTCATAATTTTAATACAAAACGTCTTCATTTACCAGCTGCTCATTAGTTCTGCATTAAGTTTTTGATCCAGGACAACTGGCAAACTTTAATATTGATGATGAATGTGCATTTAAAACTATTTCAAGAAGGAATGCTCTCTCTACAAAGCTCAAATATGACCCAAAGAAGGAATATATTAATGAATGTTCGAGCCTAAACTAATTAATCAGATTCTGGAATACAAAGGAGTGATTTTCAGAAGTATTGCCTAATACAGTACAGAACCTCTTATCCGGAAATTAGAAAACTAGTACAAAATTCAATAAATTTTCTCGCCATTTAAAAAAAAAAAATTTTTTTTTCCTCATAAGATTTTAGGATTTTTCTTTCATTTTTAAAAGATGTCTACCTTACCATCATTTTAGAAATAATCATTACTGTATTATGTGTAATACTTTGTTTTTTTTTTTTCTTTTTAAGATTATTTATAAAAAATTTTTTTTAGTCGAGTTCGACAATAAAAAAACGGCTTTTTGTATCGATTCAGAAAACTGAAAAAATCAGTTATCCGGAATAGCGATGGTCCCGGATAATCGGTTCACTACTGTATTAGATTGTGAATTGTATTCTGTTCGAACCATACATAAACCTGTGTTTTCCCTGGAGTTGCTTCTGCCTCTCTTGCCCATTTTTCCGACGTGTTGCCATGGATCGCCACCAAGCCTACCTTTTCGTATCCTCTTTTTCTTTTGCTGAGAGGTCAACGTGCACACACTTTAAGAGTCTACAGTAGTATTCTCCGGATGATCCCTAACGGGGGGGGGGGGAGAAGGGATTTAGCTTTAATTCTGTTCGAACCAAGTTTTAGAAATAAAGGCAAAGTTTGAAAACTTCGGTACCAACTCCACTTTTCTTTAATATTTGTTGTGATGTTGAACATGAAAATACTTAACTCAGTTAAAATATTTTCTCTAATAATTAAAAAATTGTAATTAAAACAAGAAAAAAAAAGTGGTTTTCTTTTCGAATAGTTCGTTTCCCTGTTTTACTATATTTTTAGGCCATTCACAGTCTGTCAGCAAAATTTAAGGAACTCAAAAAAATTATAAAATTTTCTTATAATTTTTTCTTTAATCTCTTAGTTGCTTAAAATAAAAAAATTATTGATAACTTTTACAACTATACATTATTAATATAAAACTATTTTATGAAATAGTTTTTTTTTTAAAACTATATACAAACTTATATTTTATCTGAATAACAATCATATCTTTAATGTTTTGTCTAGATCATGGATTTCATCTAGGAAATGAAATTGAGCTAAATTTTGAATTCCGAACAGTGCAATACATTGGGACTCTTTTTAGTATATTTTCAAGATTTAGTAACACTTGGTTCGAAATTTCACTATCTGATAATTCGGTAAGTTTTATATTACCTTATGTGAGTACAATTTCCCATCAGAAACAGGTTTCTGTTCTGAAAAATCTTGAAATATTTTATTTTATTTTGAGAAGTCTTGATATACTGAAAAAGAAATGATCTCAGCTGCAGCTATCATCATTAATTATACACTGAAACCTCCAAGAAAAACCACCTCTCTGTAACTACATCCTCTGTTTTCGACCACTTTTGGGAACCACGAAATTTTTTTTATAGACTTTTGTGTTGAAGAAAACCTTTAGGAGAAACCATCAAAACCTCTCCCAACGACCGGGCAAACCTCTGTACCAAATGCAGGAAAGGTCAAATAAGGAAACACGAAAAAATATTGAAACAAAAAATATTAACAAAACAAATAAGTAGATTAAAATGTATCCTAAATATTTGTGTGAAGCTCATATTTAAATAGCTCTTTTTAACACTCTCTGAAAAAGATCTGCAATCTCATATCACATTCAATGTGCACTAAAGAAGAGGATTTTTTAAGAGTTGAAAAATTAAATTAGAAAAAAAAAGTTATTTCAGGAAAAACTAAGCATTTTAATTTAACAAGCTTTAAAGCTTGAAAATATATGCTACTGTTTATGATATAAAATTAAATGCAAATAATTGTTTATTTATTTAAAATAGTTCTATCTTTCAAAATTGGTAAATTTGGTTTTACAAATAATTATATCAGTAGAGATAATTTTTTAATGAAGTTAAAAGTTTATTCATTGATTCGGTTTTCATGAGGCCAACACAAGTGGCATTTCCGCATCAAGAAAACGACACTGCATAAAATTAAAATAGTTTTAAAAAAATCATCTATCTTCGATAACATTTTGAAGTCAATGGAGGTAACCCCTAAGAACAACCAACCTCCAGTAACGGCCCTTTTATCATGGAACAGAGACTGGTCACTCCTGCGAAGTTTCACTGTACATGATTTTCTTGAATAATATCTCCCTAAATGTATTATAAAAGGTCAGGTATAACATAAAACTAACATACTAGCCAGATGTGTGGACTATCATCTTCTACAATTTCCAGTGAAATTCTAGATAAAATGAGATTATATGAGCTGATCTTAATAATTTAATTAAATAATTCTATTAATTTATCTACTATTAATTTATCTAATAACTGTAATGGACTAAGATATTTGCAATTTTAATAAACCCGAATTATTTTCAATTTCAGATAATAGCTACATTATATGAAACTTCACCACAAACTAAAGCAAAATTAGTTAAAAAACTGAAATATGTCGAGTCATGTGATTACAAGTGGCATAGCATTCAGATGCTTTTCAGAGACAATCATTTCACGCTGAATGTTGATGATTTCCGTCCAGTTGAAGAAAAGATAAAAGAGAAAGCAAAAGAACTGAAGTTTGCTGAAATATACATTGGAGGAAAACCAGGTAATGTGAGATACAATTTAAATTTTATATAACTAGGAGGCTCCGTTCTCCCTGCTTGCCAGCCTCCGTGGTGGCCTCATATTCCTTTTTGCTTCTTTTCCTTTAAAATTCGATACATTTTAAGAAAAGAAATAATAATAATAATTTTTTTAATAAAATATAATCATTAAAATTTTATGTTAGAATATTTAATTAATGTATAAATTTTATCAAAATGAATGATTACTTAGATTTGAAAAATAATAACTGTATACGAAAAAATATGTTTAAGACAATATGAACAAAATAAAAAGTAATTTTACTTGTTAACAATTTAGAATGATAATTTTTATATTGATTATCACTTCAAATCACAAACGGTTTTTTTTATCTCTTTTGAGATATTTATATTTTTAAAAGTTTTGATATAAATGTTATGATACAACATCTGATCACTTTCTCTTATTTTTTTTATCTATTTTTTGTTAGTTTTGAAACTAAATCAAGCACAAGCTAATGAAATGATGAGCTTAATTATTTAAAGTAAAAAAAATCACATAAAAAGCTTGTAAAATTGCAATGATTTTCAAAGAAATTGGAATTTTGAAAAAAACTAGCGTTAAGTTTATATTTGAAAATAGCTTTTACAGCAAGTAAAATTTCAACACTGAAGTTGAAGTTAAATTTTAGCGGGCAGTAGATCAGCCAACAAAGTTTGTTTACTTCAAGTTTAACAGTTGATAATTCTCAAACTAATAATCGAGTCTTATATTTTTATATTCTATTGAATTCCTTATATATACATATTATATATATANATATGGATATATATATATATATATATATTTTTACACCTTCATAATTTCAAGTTTCTAAGTATTATAGATTTTGAGCAGCGAAACAAAATTTAATACTTAGGTCATGTTTAGTTCATGTTGATACAATACAAAGGTCATGTTTAGTTCATAAACAAATATGACCCTTACAACATGTCAAATATCTACTCTGTAGTTGCATTTCAGCAGCCAATAGAGCAGCTGCATGGTATTTTTTTCCTAAGTTTAACAAATAATTAACTCTACAACTATCGATTAAATATGATTTTTTTTTATTCCATGTACATTTTTCATACACTGTACTAGCTTGAAGTATCTAAGACTTATAGTTTTCGTGCAGTAAAACAAAATGTAACCCTAAGTTGAACACAAAAAACAGCGTAGCCGACGGCTTTTACGATTTTTTAACATGGAGGTTTGAGCAAAAAGATAGTGTACCAAATATTACATGATTTAAGGAAACTTTTTGTGTCTTTGGCTGTTTTAAATTATTTTAAAAATTAGCATTAAAAATTGTAATTTGTCTATTAGAGTATTTTTTCAACATAAATTTTTCATTAAAGCAATTTAGTTTCTTATAAAATTTAAGGCCAATTTTTCCAAGTCACTGGTATAAAAAACTGAATTTTGCCAAAATTATTAATGTTTTTTATTGTTTTAATGCTTTTGTACTGAGGTTTAGCTTAATAGGCACTCATACCGAAACGATGGCTAAGAACGTACTTTCAGTTTAACAACCACACTAAACTAATTAGAAATATCACATAATTTTAAACAGGGTTCAAAATTTAGGTAGGTGTTTAAGCCGGTACTCTTCTCTCCAAAATTCCACACCAGCAGAAATTTTTTTTAATTTTAACAGATTTAATGTAACATGATTGGAATTTTAGTCAGACCAGGATTTAACTCATGGTCCCAAATTTCAACCAAAAATATGAACTGCATTTTTTAGTAATTGTATTTATATAAAAGTGGATTTAATATTTTCTTTGCTGCAATTTAATTATAAAACTGAGTCACGATGTTTCCAATCAATATTGCATAATTATTCTTATTTAATATCTACGATTGCTGTAGCTAGAAATCAGATTAAATGGTTTTCGTAAGATGCGTAACTACGCATGCAGACAAGCTTTTATATCATAAACTAAAACAGCAGGTAAAAAATATTGATTTTTCCTCTGATTTTCAAGACTTTGACCTAGCATGAGATCAAAATTTGAACTGTATAATCTTTATATAGAATTTAGCTACAAATGCAATAAACATTTTCAGATATAACAGATTTAATTCAACTTAGCAGATTTAATGTAACATGATTGGAATTTTAGTCAGATTAGGATTTAACTCATGATCCCAAATTTCAACCAGAAATATGAGTTGCGTTTTTTAGTAACTGTATTTATTTAAAAGTATTTCATATTAGATTTAATATTTCGCTTGCTGCAATTTAATTATAAAACTAAGTCAATGATGTTTCCAAGCAGTGTTGCATCATTATTCTAGAATATAATATCCACAATTGTTGGAGCTAGAAACCAGATTAAATGGTTTTACTTAGATGTGTAACTACACGTGCAGACAAGTTTTTACATCATAAGTTAAAACTGCAGGTCCCTGCGTTTTCAAGACTTTGACCTAGCAAACTTTTTAAAATTTGAACTGTTTTTATCTTAATATAGAATTTAGTACCAAATGCAATAAACATTTTCAAAAATAATCAGTTAAGATTAACAATACCATGAAAGGATTTTGACCACATAAACTTTGAGGTAACTTTAAAGAAAAGCTGAATTTTGGAATGAATTTTTATGAATCTTTCAAAACAATGATTCTCAAAGCATGCATTGCAGCTGCTTCAGTCGTAATGCAAGTAGTGTGTAATGCATAGGTATATGAATAATAATGTAAATGAAATTGATGACAAATAAAATAACTAATAAATAAAAGATATTAGAGTTTCATTTATTTTTTATCTCTTATGTATGATCTGTCTGTTATATTTTTTACTTACTTTAAGTTGCCATTAAAAAATGTTAATTGAAAAGAGAGCTCCCGCAAACTTACTACTAAATATTAATTAAAAAACAAGCTTGAAACAGCTTAGAAACCTTAGGTGGATGTCATACTGTAGGAGAAACTCTACACAACAAATTTCATCTCACCTCCATTAGTAATTTAAAGTATGGAAAAAGCTACTCAGATAAACTCAGAGGAAACCATGAAGTTTTAAATGGTGAAAAAATATTTTTAAAACCTCAAAATACAAACATTATAGCAAGATCATGCAGAAATCCGCATATAAAACTAATGGTTTACTCTGCATTCACCTGAACTCACTTTTTTTCTAAACAAAATTTGTCCTGAAAAGTTTTCACCATGTTGTAGTGCCCTCTGAAGGTTACGTCCATAACTATAACTAACATTTCCCCCTTAAAAACACATTCATTAACCATTGTAGTAGGACTTGAAAGCATATCCATATTATGGTTAATGTTGGTTTAGTTAACATTTTAATTATTATTTTAGACAAACATCCCTACAAGGAAGAAGGAGAAGCAAACTTTTCGGGTTGTCTTCGAGGAATAACTTTGAATGGAGAAGTACTACAAATTAAAAATCCTGAGACAGATGCAAATGTTGTGCAGTACATGTGCCCACAAATATAAGTGGACAATCGTGATATTTTATTTATGTAACTATTTATTAACAGCTTTTAAAAGTAGGTACTTGTATCATTTTTGTAAATTCTAATATATATATATTTATGTGTATGGATAGTAAATAATTTCATTGTTTATAGAGTGTGGCATTAATATTTAATGTAACATATTTTTTGACTGACATTGTAATTTAACATCTGTAATTAGAATATTATGTATTTTGTTACAAATCAAATAAATATATTGTTTTAATTTTTTTTATGTGTACTTCTTTTTTTTATAGCACATAGTGAAACAAGCATATTATAGAAGAAAATGAAAGATGTACATATAATTATGATATACACATGAAGCAGTTTTTATATTTCGATACAAATTTTTTTAAAAATATTTTACACTTTTAATAATTTAAATACATTTGTACAATATGCATCCAATATTATATGCTGTGCTGCAAAGTGTACTATAATAATTTTGAAAATTTAGCAAAAAATATGCTTAAAAATTTAGTTTGCCACAATATTTTTTATAAAAAATTAAATCAAAAGATGCTTATGCAAATAGAATTACTTTCCTTAATAAACAAATTACTACGACCCTTTTAAAATTTTATTATATAATAAATACAAATACACAAAAAACTGGAAAAAAAAAGATTTTTAAAAAAAGAGGCAAGAAGCTAGTAGAATAATGAGCAAAATAAAAATTATTCAAAAATAGGCAGAAGCGTAATAAAATGAAAATGCTGGATAACTCTTAAAAAAGAATAAATTGCTAACCTACACCAAAATTATGAGTGATTGTAAATATTTTTTAAATTAAAATATAGGATCTGCAAGTTCATCAAGCAAGTGTAGCGACCACCACTAATATAATCACTGTTTAAATAAAAGAAATAGACCAAATCTGCAAGAGCAGAACCATTGCAATATCAAAACATGCTCAAAACATTTTTTAATTAAATCATTATCACCATTTCAGAATCATAGTTATGTTATACTTCTTAGTAAAATAGAAGAGTTATAGCTAAAAAAATGTAAACAGATTATGAATTAAGGAGAGATATTAAATTCTCGTTATCATTTAATGTCAATGATAATCATACTCTGATAAACTTCCACAGCTATGAAAAAATGAAACTGAATAAGAATTCTAATGATAGATAGAATGCTTTGCATATTTCAAACTATACATTCAGTTATTTTATCAAACAAAAAAGTGGGTCAGAATATGTATGAACAATTTTAAACCATGGTCATATTATATTATGGTTCATAAATGAATTAAAGGTTATTTTATGTAGATTTTAAATCCAACTCGTTAGCTTGCTATAAAATGAATTTTGCTACCTACAAAATCAAAATGATTGAAGAAGCATGTTTAAAAATAAAATCGCCTAGCAGTTTTCAGTAGAAATGTGAACAATAACAATATCGAACTGTATACCTACTCTAGTTCCGGTTAGAACGTTTGCAGCTGCTTACTACATGTTATTCTGCGAGGCGATATTTTCAAACGGATAATTTTGTTTTCAATAAAAGAAATAAATTAGATAATTTATGAACTCAAATCTGCCATATTTCATAAGATATTACTGTTATAATGTAATTCTGGTGAGTTTGAAGTGAAAATTTGTTTTAGTTATTTAGAGATATATTGTTGAAAAAGGTGAAGTGGTTGCTAGATTTTGAATAACTCGCTTTTTTTGCAGTCTTGATTTGGCCTCTTTCCATTTGTTTATTATTGTTTGCTCGCGTTGCAATCTGTGCACCATCTTACGTTAGTGTTAGCATATTGTTCCAGGAGCAAGATTAAGTTTAGAAATAAGCATTAAAATACCACGTTTGCAAGAATCTTAAAACACAATGATGACGTTGTGAGCCAAATGGCTTTAAAATACGCCGGAAACAGTAACCCGGAAGTACAAGAGGCATACAGCTTGCAGCGCTCCTTAGTGTCGAAAACTTCATCCATAACATGCGTAGTAAGCAGCTGCAAACTTTCTAACCGGAACTAGAGCAGGCATAGAGCTCGAGATTGTTATTGTTTACATTTCTACGGAAAACACCGTCCAGTGATCAATGTCAGAACTTAAAAATTCACCTTCGTTTAGCTTAGACTAGAGTTTTGTGAAATATTGGAACCTTTCTATTCAATGTAATGAAACGCAATTTATAACTGATGTTTCAATTATAAAGCTTAAGTTTAGTTTGTTGTTTGTGATTGTCCCTAGTATGGCATGTAAATGTAAGTTGGTTTAAATCATGGTTTAACTCCCATTGGTTTATACCAGTCAACCCTGCATTCAATTACGTATATTAAAATTTTATTGAATTAATTCTTTGTTATAATTTTTTTTTCAAAATGTGTTCTACAACATCGAATTTTCGTTTCCTTTAGTTGAAATAGTGTAATACATTTGTTTTTCAAATTGTGAATTAATTATTCCTGTCCGAAATGCATTGTAGATTTGTAAATTTTGAGATTATTTCTGTATCGTGATTTGTTTCGCCAAGATGCCAAATAGATTTTAAACTTGCAATTTTTTAAGGAAAAAAAACAATAGATGTTTGCTACGGCATGAGCTGTGGCTACCAGGATGAGATTACTTGACAACTTCCTGGCAGCGGCCCACGAGAAACTAAAAACAACAGCACAGAAAGGGATCAACTTGAAAAGTGTAACTCGTAGCAGTGTTTCCATTACAGAAAATAATTTAGAGAGAATTTCTCACCCTTTCTCAGAAACAGGGTGAGATTTCAAAAAGTTAAGTGAGATTTCTAAAAATTAAAAAAAACACGAATTTCGTTAAGTATAATACATTTTTAACATCTAATTTGTAAAGCATTGAGTATTTTTGCTGCATCATCATATGGACAATGTTCTATATGTACTTTTTCATCAGCTTTTCTCATTAGGTTGCTCAAATGTTTATCAGTCATTTGTCTGCTATTTTGTCTTAATTCGGTTTTGAGTGCTAAATGACCTTGCAACAGATGCTGAACAATTCTGAATCACTAAGTAAATTGAAATATCCCCGCAATTGGCTTTTTGAGTTGGTCCCTTTCTGTGATGTTTTTTTTTTTAGTTTATCGCAGGCCACTGCCCGGAAGTTGCTAAGACTTGGCTATTATTCTGCCATAGATCACGGTATGGAAAGTCTCCCCAAAATTTTAACTTCAGATGTTTATTATAGGTGAAGCTTGCATTCATGTCAATTTTAATAAATGACTTAAAAAGGGAAGTTATTGCCAAAAAAGTTTCCAACTTCTGACGATAATCCAGCAAAAGCTTAAGAAAATCTTTACGGAAATGGACAACTCAAAAGGTATAACTTACAGCACCCCCACACGGGCAAACAATGACTTATTTTTCTTTTAAATTTTAGCAAGTGCAAAATCCTTTGATACTGTGGCGTAACTACCACTGCCCAGACGTTTTGTGAAAGGTCTGTTTTTGTGAAAAAGTTACTTGTGAATATCAAATAAACGTTAAGTCACGTTTTTTCAACCAGTGTCCTGCTTTTATGAATTTGTGCTAATTAGGTCCGCTTGTTGCAAAAAATTTTCAAAGAGTTTTTAAATTGTAAAGAGATTATGCTAAGCACTGTAAAATTATAATTACAAAAAATGAAATTTTCAAAAATTAAAAGCAATTGCTGCTTCTAAATTAGAGATGCAACATGCAAATATTTGGTATTAAGCCTATACTGCTGAACGCAGAATATTCATATCCTACGAATAATGGAAGAAGCGTCCGTCGAAGACAAAACTTAATTCGTATGCATCCATCTTTCTTGTTTTCCTCCCTGGGAAGGGTTTATTCGATTAACAAAACAATAATGACGATAAACAAATTTGTGAAGGGTCCGATTAAAAGAAAAATCATTTTGTGAAAGGGCCGTTTTTTAGTTGAAATATTTTGTGAATATTTTTTCTAAACAGACTTTTGACTAATGTTTCTGTTGGGAGAAATTTTTTCTCTAATGTTCAACACTTTCAAAGGTCTCTAAAAAAATAGATAAGCAATGAGTTCAAAGTATATCGATTTAGCATAACCATTTCACATGATGTAAAATGATTAATTTTTATGATCAATTTTTGTTATTACCATATTTTTGTGCAAAGTTTCTCATACAATATTATTACTTCACAAGAAATTTAAATTGCTTATTTCAGTCTTCCCTTTTTAACACTACTGTTAAATTGTTAATTTTATTTTTTTTAATTCATTTTTCAGCAGTTATTGCTAAATTCTGCAGAGTTTCTAAATTCCAAATATTTTTTATTTACTACAATTAGCAAGTCCACAAATTTGAGTGGCCATCTTATAACCACAAATTTGAGTGCTTCATGATGCATCGGTTTCAAATGATTTAATGGTAAATCCATGTGAATTTATTGTTTGGTAGTTATTCTCATGTATTGCCACATGCAGATTTTAAAATTGTTAAGATCCCATTCTTTTTTCTTGAAAAAACAAAAATATCACCCATAATATTAAAATGTGTACTATACATTTTTTGATTGTTGGTGAGGGAAAAAAAATTATTATACAAAAAAAAATTTTCTTTCAACCTTTCAGGGATGAGATTTTTCCGCTTTTTAGCGGATTTCCGCTTTTTTCACTTTTATCTCTTAAATTTCAGCTTTTTTTTTAATCAAAAATTCAGATTTTCTAAAAATTTCATTTTTTTTATAAGTATTCCGCTTTTTCAGAAAATTCACCGATTTTCAAAGAGAAACAGAAAACTCAAACTACATAGCTACCAATCCTTTCTCATTTTTACTTATTTTACCTATTTTCTTCCTTTTTACACGCAGCAGATAAGATTTTCCGAATTTTTTACCTGCTCTCCAGATAGATCCGATTTTCGTAGTTCAAACGACGCTGCTTCTGACAAGCCTTTTAGAGGTCCCAAGCCTGGAATCTGCTAATATCTCGATTCTTATTCACACGATTTTAATATCAAACATAGCTTTTCATATTTGCGTGTTGCGATTCTTATTCACGCGATTTGAATATTGTACGTTGCGATTCTTATTTACGAGATTTAAAAATCTGATATTGTGATTCGTATTTACGTCTTTTTAAAAACCTATGTAGTGATTCGTATTCACGTAAGTTTAAAATTCAATGTGTTGATTTGCTCATGCGGTTTATAATATCAAACATTGATTTTCGTATTCATACGTGATTTTAAAATAAGGCATTGGGATTCGCATTCACGCATTCTAAAAGTTATGCATCATAATTCTTATTTATGCAATCTAAAAATTACGCATCATGATTCGTATTTGCGCGATCTAAAAATTATGAATCGTGATTTGTATTTACGCGTTTTAAAAATTCTATATCCCAGTTTGTATTTTCTCATTTTCAAAATCATATATCTAGTTTCATATTCATGTGATTTCAAAATCCATAATTGTTATTCATATTCACGCAATTTTAAGATCAACTATCGCGATTCTTGTAAGAAGTAAATTTTTTTTAAAAATTAGTTACTATAAAGGTGACTGTTTTTCTAACGACGATTATTAGTATATGTAAGTGTTCCAACATCAGAGAAACTGGAAGGGAATATATTCAAAACTTACATTCTGTGCTTGCAAAGAAGAAAAAATGGGATTTGTCACAAGATGTTTGAAGATGGACTAACGACTAAATATAGCAAACATAAAAGATATAACAAACAAAAGCAATCACTTAAAAAGGGATTTAATTAAAAAAAAAAAATTGGGGAAAAAAGTTAATTAACTCATCATCAAAATTTTATTTATAATTGCTGTTATTTATGCTATAAAATGCAAAATTCTTATCAAATAAAAAACAATTATCGAAACAGTTGCTGATTATGTAATTTTTCAAACTAAAATAGCAATTTTTGTATGTTAAGGAGTTACTATATATTTCTACTTCATTGTTATTGATATGTTTCAGAGGGCTGTAGTTAGATTAGACTATAATATGGACATAATGATTCGGTCCATTGTTGAAGTTTTTTTTCCCAATATAATTTAAAAAGTAATATTACTGATATATTTGCTATAAATCACATAACAGTATTTATTAAAAGAAATGAAATATTAATATATATTCTCAGTAGTTTTAATTTGCTAAACCAGGTAGTTTTTCAAGTAGTAATTGTCTCTTATGTGAACTGAGGAAAAATATAATTTCCAGCTTTGTTTTTTCAATTGGTAATTTTTTTTTACTAAATGTTAAGCATCAATGTAATCGTTTTTATATTAATAGATTAGTACACAACTGCATGTCAACACATTATTTATTACCTTAAACTGTCTGGAATTTATTATTAAAGGGTTGCGCTCGCGCAAAATTTACTATCGTGGAAATTCAGCTTTTTTGCGTTTCGGCTAATCTCATCCCTGACCTTTACATTTTATGAATGTTATTTTTGTGTATGAAAATGATAGACTTCTATTTAATATTTTTTCATTTTACTGAACAGAAATAATCTTCTATGCAAACACCGCTGTCTCAGTGGGTTAAGACACTGAACTATTTTTATGAGGAACCTAGGCTCCATCCTCAGTGATGGCTTGAAGCCCACCCTGTTTTAAATCAATGGGTACCAGCTTGTCTAGGCAGTAAAGACTGCCTTTGCGCAGTAATGACCACATTGCTACAGTCAGGCAATTGATCACGAAATTCTGGAGCTGTAACCTTATAAAATTTAGAATAAAAAACAACCTCTCATTCCTGATTATTTCTGTCATTGTTAAATTAAACATGTAGTAATTAGACAAATAGGGCATTAAAAAGTAAGTCATTTTTATACTAGCATATACATTTGAAAGTTTTTTTTTTTTTTACTTTTTTATATATTTTTAAATTCTTTATATTCTTGTTTTTTACTTCTTCTATTCTCAAAAAAGAATAGTTTCTGCTCATAACAAAAAATAATTTCATTTGTGAATTTATTTGTTTGAATTCTTTAAGTTTATGAGTGGAAGCTTACATTTAGTTTTGTAAATTTATTTTTCTCTTATTTTTAAAATGTATGCTAATTTATTTAAATATTGTGCAAAACCCTAAGAATTATTTTTTTATTAAAGAAAGAAATAATTATCAGGAACTTTTTCCTATATGCAAATTTTAAATAAAAACTATTTTGAACACAATATTGTAACATAATAAAAATAATGTATTGAGATAATTTTTAATTTGAGCAAGAATGTCTAAACATCATGTCAAACTGAGTGTGATGAAACAAAATTTCTAAAAATCATTATGTGAAGAATTTTCTAAAGTTCCCCATCTTTTCCCTGAAAATAATATTTTCATCCAATCTTAAAAAATTTAAAATAAAGGCAGTTGGCTCATTTTAATTACCAGTTATGTAATTTAAGTTAAGTGTACAATTTGATTTGCATGCAAATGCTTAATTGTTTCATTATGCTGCCATTTTGTCTTTCAAAAATGAATGCTTTATTATCCCTTTAAAATATATTGTCAAAATATATTTTAAACTGTCAAATGTATGACAGTGATTTGTGATTTGAAATTCACCCACAACTTATTTACTATTATACCCATTTTTAATTTAAATGTTTAATAGAAATGACCAATTTTATATTTGTTTGTATACCAATGAGAAGTAAAAACCAGGATTAGCTAGTTTCTCGGAAATGAAATAAGTTTCTTTTTTTTCTTTTTATTTGAAATTGCATGTTTATTCAAGATAATTTATTGAATGGAATAGATTTCATTCATATTTTAAAACATAATACATCTAAAATGATCTTATATTTAATCTGAAATTAAATCTTAAAGATATGTGGGAGCAATTTATTTCAGTATGTTTAAATATAAACTGCTATATTTTTGCTGTTACTTCACTTCAAGTAACTATTCTTTTGTGATATTAACTGAACTTCTCTGAAAACTCATGAAGCATTCAAATTTGTTAAATAAAAAGAAGAAAATTAAATGGGAAATTTCCTTAATCTAGTTAATAACATTCCAGCTAAAAAATTACATGTTTCAACCTTTTGTTTTTAAAAGAATTACTGTATTTCAGTATGCAGGAATTTCTCACAAAATCCGTATTAAGTCATTTTTCAATATTTTTCTTCTGAATTTTAATTTTTGTTCTTGAGTTAAGTATTTTGTCCTGGAATTAAATATTTAAATAAATTAAATGTGATTCGTGATTAAAGGGAGTGGATAAAATGTTAAAATTCCTTAATCTAGTTAATCTCATTCTAGCTCTCCGAAAAAATTGTTTACATGTTTCAGCATTTTTTTTTTTTTTAAAATTTCAATATGCAAGAATTTTTTATATTTAAAATCCATATTAAGTTATTTTTCAATATTTGTCTCCTACATTTTATTTTTAGTACATACTTGAGTTAAGTATTTAGTCCTTGAATTAAGTATTTATTTTTTAATTTTTTTTCAAGTTAATCCTGTTGTTTCAACTGAAATTTGTCTTTTTTTTTAGCTTACAATCAAAAAACTTGAGCCCAAAATAATGATTATTAAAGAGTAAATGAATGGTTATAAGGCAAAGACAGATTAATCATCAACTTTGTTGCTTCACTTCAAGAAGATCGGGTTGAGTTTTCATTAATGATTTGCAAAAATGTACTTTTTGGTCATGAATTTTCATTAATGATTTGCAAAATGTTGTAGAATGTTGTTGGAAGATTTTAATGATGATTTACTTTAAACTTGTAGTGTTAAAGAATTTTTCCTTTATTGATGATACAAAGAATAATTCAAATTATTAATTTATATATCTGCAAAAAATAGTTTCAATTGTAAAATTTACTTAACATTTTAATTTACAATCTCATCTATATATATACTCAAAAGAAAATAATTAGCTATTTATTTCTATAAGACTGTACGTGTAGTTAACATTAACTAATTATACTCGGGTTAACAATTATAATATTTACTTATAACATTTTAATTTACCATATATATACTCGAAAGAAGATATTTCAAAAATTTGTCATTGTCATTAGCACATTATACTTATTTTCTCTTTATATAAATTTATGCATATACAAATTATTCTAATAGCATGTCTGATAAAAGTGTTTCTCTTGAACTTTCCGAAAACTGTCATAATAATGATAAAATTGTTAAAAATTATTATTCTTGTAATGTATGTCATGAGAATTTTCCTAGAAAGAGTCAGTTAATTTCTCACACTCCTATTCATAATGACGATAAGAGTTATCAAAATGAAAGTTGTTTAACTACTCACAGTTTTATTCAAACTGAAGAAAGACCCTTTTCTTGTGGTATATGTAATAAGAGTTTTACAATCAAAAGTTCTTTGACCAAACATAGTCGTGTTCACACTGGTGAAAAACCTTTTTCTTGTAGTGTATGTAGTAAGAGTTTTGTGCGTAAAGATTCTTTGACCCAACATAGTCGTGTTCACACTGGTGAAAAGCCCTATTCTTGTAGTGTATGTAAAAAAAGTTTTGCAGCAAAACATCATTTGAATAAACACTCCATAAATGTTCACTCTAGTAAACAGCCTTATTCTTGTGTCATATGTAATAAGAGTTTTAAACATAGTCATTCTCTGAAAGCACATATTCTAAATTACACTGGTGAAAAACCTATTAGCTCTTTAACTAGTCATAAACTTAGTCATACTGGTGAAAAACCTTTTTCTTGTAGTGTATGTAAGAAGAGTTTTTTAAATAAATTTAACTTAAAGGATCACAGTCTTGTTCACACTGGTGAAAAACCTTTTTCTTGTATTATATGTAATAAGAGTTTTGCGCATAAAGGTTCTTTGACCAAACACAGTCGTCTTCACACTGGTGAAAAACCTTTTTCTTGTAGTGTATGTAATAAGAGTTTTGCGCATAAAGGTCCTTTGACCAAACACAGTCGTCTTCACACTGGTGAAAAGCCCTATTCTTGTAGTATATGTAATAAGAATTTTACAAGAAATAGCTCTTTAACTATTCATAAACTTAGACATACTGGTGAAACACCTTTTTCTTGTAGTGTATGTAATAAAAGTTTTTCAAATAGATTTAACTTAAATGAACACAGTCGTGTTCACACTGGTGAAAAACCTTTTTTTTGTAGTGTATGTAATAAGAGTTTTGCGCATAAACGTTCTTTGACCAATCACAGTCGTCTTCACACTGGTGAAAAACCTTTTTCTTGTAGTGTATGTAATAAGAGTTTTGCACATAAAGATTCTTTGACCAAACACAGTCGTCTTCACACTGGTGAAAAACCTTTTTCTTGTAGTGTATGTAATAAGAGCTTTGCGCTGAATAGGTATTTAACTAAGCACAGCTTTATTCATACTGGCCAAAAACGTAACAGACCATGTGCAACATTACATGCATGTAGTATATGTAGTAAGAGTTTTTCATCAAAATATAATCTAACTAATCACTATCTTATTCACACTGGTGAGAAACCTTTTTCATGTAGTGAATGTAATATGAGTTTTGCTCAGAAAATTCGTTTAATTGTTCACAGTTATATTCATACTGGTAAAAAGCATTCTGGTAGAAAGCATTATCCTTGTAATATATGTAATAAGAGTTTTATATTGAAATGTGCTTTGACCAACCACAGTCGTGTTCACACTGGGGAAAAGCCTTTTTCATGTTGTGTATGTAATAAGAGTTTTGCGTACAAATGTCATTTGAATAGACACAGTCTTGTTCACTCTAATCAACAGCCTTATTCTTGTGTCATATGTAATAAGAATTTTAAATACAGTCATTCTCTGAAAGTACATTATCTAAATCACACTGGTGAAAAACCTCATTCCTGTATAGTATGTAATAAGAGTTTCAAATTTTATGCATCTTTAACAGTACATCAACGAGTTCATACGGGGAAAAAACCTTATTCTTGCAATGTATGTTATAAGAGTTTTGCAAGTAACAGTAACCTTAAACGTCACAGATGTATCCATTTATGAAAAAATGAGGGGAATTATTTTCATGTGTATACACTAATGGTTTTTCAAACAATGCAAATGTAGCTTGTCACAGTTTAAATCAGCTTGTGCTGTATGCTGTGTATTCCCAATTTTTAAATATTAAAAAAATCTACCAATGCCTGCTTGCGATTGTTACACTGTAGCACATCTTTTATTTATGTTTTCAGACACTTCAAAGCACAGTGCAAGGCTGATTGTGGTCCGGAAAAAATCCGGATTTCCAGATCTTTCTCTAACAGTGATCCAGAAGTTTCTGGATATCGAACGTCCAGACGTTTAAAAAAATCATTGATCACAGAAGTTTCCGTAATTCGAATTTTCAAAGGTGGAACTTAAAAACACTATTTTATTTGTTTGTAAGGTAGAGCCACATACTTTATAAGCTTATATTCATGAATAATATTAATTTTTTATCAGTAAATAGTTATTATAATCATAAATCCAAGAAAGAAAGACATATTTGTAAATTTAAATTACTTCTCCAGGTTATCATAGGTATGTGTAAATGGTATGGGTATTTGAAAAATTTTAAATATATTTTAAGTAAACTAAGAAATATTGAGAAAAAGGAAAAAAAAACCTTGTTTAAATTTTTTTTCAATTTAAACTGTTTTTTTTTTTTTTTTTAATTTTTTAACTCAAGGAATTTTCCGGAATTTTGACTTTGACTCACAATCACCTCTGACAATGTAAATTTTCCAATTGTTTCCAATTGTTTTGGAGTCTTTCTATTTTGAATTGAGGTATTTTTTGCCTGGAAAATACCTTTAAATTACATGTATATTAATAATTAAAAGATGTGGGAAATGCTCAACATTGTTTTTATGCTTTTTTCTTTTTTTTGGAATGTGTTATCTTAAGTTCTTTTCCTGTTTCTTAATTGATCCTTTGCCACCATGTAGTTGTATGTTCAAATTTAGTGTTCTTTTACTTAAGAATTTACCGTATTCTTTATGTTTAAGATCCTTTCCTGTCTTGTCACATTTTTGTCATTGCTATCTTAATCTCTAATTTAGTATTCACTATGTACTAACCACAAATTCTATTATCCTATTGTTGCAAAACAATTTACTATATTCAGAAAATGATTGTTTTAATTCTTACTATTTTAAGATTTCTGTCTCCCTACCATTGAGATTTTTATTTAATAGGAATATCCACTTTAGTGGAGCCACTAGATTAGGCACGAGTACAATTTATTGGAAAGTAGACAAGATCCTCAAAACACAGAGATAACTTATAACAGTATCATAAATTACAGAACCTAAATAAAAATTGACTGTTTATTTTCTAGTTGCCTAATTTTTCTATTGTATTCAAAAATTAGGTATGTAAATCGTCTGCATTCTCAACTTAATAATACATACCATTCTCAACTTAATGATAAAAACTCGAAACTAAATTTTACTTTGAACAAGAACGTCTCGATCGATAGTTTACCTCTTCATATTTCAGTAGAGAGGCTTCTGAGCTGCTCTTGAGACATCCACGTTACAAAATATTAAGATTATGGATATCTCTGGAAGTATGCTTAACTTTATTGCCTTAATTGGAATTATTTTAGAAAATTTCTTCGTTCATTAAAATGTGAATAACTTTTCTATTGCACAAGGAATTAAAACTGCTAGGGCAAATTTAAGTATCAGAAAATAATAAAATCACAGAATAAACAGACTTGTAAAAGTTACTTACTAAAATTTGTATCAATATTTTTGAGTTGTTTATTTAAAATATTAATAATTATCCAACAAAGGTTTTCATGGAATGATTTTTAATTTAGGCGTAAAATATTATTTGAGGTTTTTTTAATAGATTTTTTTTAATTAAAAGCTTAAATATTTACTAAGACGAATTAACATACTTAGTAATATTGATATTTTTAACAAGTTTAAATGTTAATTTAAAAAAACATTCAAATCAATGCATTAATGATATTACATGTATTTAAGAATATAAATTTTTATAAGTTGAAAGAAATCTTTGCCTTAGGCTACCAAATACAAAAAATTTTTGGGTATTGATTTGAAACTAGATAGGTAAAAAATAAGTTTAGTTAAAAGAAGTTGATTATATATTACCTTTTTTTGTAGATGGAAGTTTGTAAACAAGTCAGGAGTTCTAGTGTGTGTGAAAAAACCTTGAGAATATTTCAAATTCTCAATCCTTGTTTTCATCAGTGATGGTATGCTGGCGCATTCATATTCTACAAATTCTTAATCTTAAACTGTTGAAGTGTCATATACTGGATCTTAAAACCTTCTGAACTTGAAATCAATATTTAAAAATTAATCAGCAAAATAAAGTCACATGTAGTTAGACTTGATCTATTAATAGTAGCTTTGAAAAAAAAGGGAGAGGAACAGTAATAAAAAAATAGCCTAGTTTGAAAGGAAAAAATTGCGAATAATCTTCCTGAATGCTTTAATATTTTATTTATTTAAAAAAATGAATGACCGCATCTTTAAAAGAAAATTAGAATTTGACTATTTTTGTAAATTTGACATCACAAAAAAAAATGAATAAATAAATAAAAAATCTTGAATTTGATACTAGATATCAAATACAGAATAAGAGTTTTTTTTAAATTAGATGTATATATTTTTATATTTTATTTTTAAATCTATGTATTATTAATGGAAAGTTGAGTAATATGTATTTTACCTTTTATGTACTTTAGTGAACACTTTCTGTAATTGTTGACATATTAAAAGCATTTTTACTTTATTAATTACATAGCACTGTTTATTGTGTTGTATTTTATTTTTATCTCTGCCCAATTTTATGTATATTTCCAAGGCATAACTTTTTACTAAAATATTTCAATTTCATTGATTAAAAGCCTATAGAGCTTTCGCAAAAAGTTGTGTTCTTCATTATATGTTAGGAAAAATCTTGCAAAGTTAATCCGATAATGTTTCAATTTAGGGAAATCTTAGTAATTATGCATACTTGAGCCAAAAATAAATTAAATGACGGTATTGTTGTCAGTACTGAACTTTAATATCGCGATGTGACTTCTGGAAATTGTCATCGATAGTTAGTGATATAGCTCAATATCTTTCCTACTCAACAAATTTAAACTAGTCAATATTCTTGTTTGTCAATTAAAATTTATCAACAATCACGGTATTATCTAGGGTGCGTAGCGTTTTTAAAAAGTGCTTAATTTTCCCTTTTCCGAATTGAGATTTTTCCTTTACCATGTAGATTTTCGCTACGAATTATGCGAGAAGACACTTGTAGCGTATCTACCACTACAAAATTACAACTACAATTCACTAGTATATAAGACATGTTAACTCGACTCTATGTCGGGGTACCTTTACATAGATGACGGTTGACATGGTCTAATACTCCTCTCCCCACATTGGTGACCCGGACGTGATGTGAACACGCCTACCTATACAGTAACGCCTACTTCGGCGGATGATCCACATTGAAAAGTTGACTTGCAGCTTGTGACTGCGACATTATCCACCTCCTCGCACTGTTGCTACTCAGTCTCGTCTCAATCACGCACAACGTCGGCTTGCATACTTGTGATTACTCGACTGCTAACGGCAACACAGGAGCGACTACGACCGTGAAGTTAATACACTTCTCACATTCAGCACTAAAAAAATACGGTGATCTTAATACAGATCTCCCGGCTTCTCACAAAACAGCAATGAATCAACTAGTGGTATTCGTTCATCGAATTCTATCACAGATATAATTCTGGTGGGGGAGTACTGTAGAGTATCTACCACTACAAAATTACAACTACAATTCACTAGTATATAAGACATGATAACTCGACTCTATGTCGGGGTACCTTTTCATAGATGACGGTTGACATGGTCTAATACTCCTCTCCCCACAACACTGTTCACATTGTTCTATTCAACATTTTCACAATTAATTCAATCCTAAATTATTTCGGAGCATCGTCAGAACGTAGCTCATGAAAGCGCCATTCGATTTACATGATTCAAAAATTTTGACGATTATCAAAAAAAATGCCAAAAGATTTTTTTTTGTTGACATGACTGTTAAATCCAGATAAAACCATCTTTACATGTTGACCAAGTATCAAATGATTAAATTTATAGACTTCTGTGAAGTGTGGTTCCTGCCAAAATCAGTGGCCGCCATTGTTGGAGATCACCGCTGCCACATGCCTCGGCATTGATTCAAAGAGACTTTGGATGTGCTCTTGTGGTACAGCAAACCAAGCAACTTCCACATGTTGCCAAAGTTGATCTGGTGTGGCAGCTGAGGATGTAATCTGGGTCAATCGTTGAGCAATCATGGACCACATGTTTTCTATCGGTGAAAGATCCGGAGAGCGAGTTGGCCGCTGAAGCAGTTCAATCTGGCGATTGATGAAGAACCCTTGAACAATGTGTGTCACATGTGGTCGCGCATTATCCTGTTGAAATATGGCTGTGGGCAAGCTCTGAAGGTAAGGAAGGACAACTGGCTCTAGCACCTTGGAGATGTAGCACTGGCTGTTTAAAGTACCGACAATGCGTACTAGAGGAGTGCGAGAGTGATATCCAATACCGCCCCATACCATAATATCCGGTGCAGGACCAGTGTGGAGGTGCATAACGCAGCTGTTCAGCATCCTCTCTCCACGGTGTCTCCAGACTCAAATGCGACCATCGTGGCATTGCAGACAGAAGCGTGACTCGTTAGTAAAGACAATTTCATTCCCTTCTGTCGTCCACATCTTTCTTTTATTGCATCATTGGCGGCGGAGACGCCTATGGGTCTGCGTCAAGGGTAGACCACTCTCCTGTAAATGGCGTCGAATGGTATGCACAGACACTGGATGATGCGTTACAGACTGAATGTGCTATGGTTTGTGATGTGACCGAGTTATCAGTCACTGCCATGTACACAATTCACCTGTCATCACGTGAAGTGGTGCACTGAGGTGGATGCAATCGAACACGTCGGTCCATCGTACCCTCCTGCATCCAACGATCACATATCCGCATTGCAGCTGTTTGGTTTTGTCCAACACGACTACTGACTTACCTGAAAGATAATCCACAATCTCCGTAGGCCACTATCCTTCCTCTGTCGAACTCGGATACTTGATCAAAAGATGATCGCTGTTTTCTATGAGGTATAATTGATCGTTTTTTGAAGAAAAAAAAAACACAATTGCCGAACCTGAAATCTGCAAGCCTTAAATAGTGCTTTGAAGTGGCGCCACAGGTGCGAGTAAAGTGCATCTGCGCTGAAGTTCTAATCATTTGCATATCTCACCTCCGCTAATGCATGTTGTAAATTCCATGTTATATTCATGCTTCCTTCAGGGTGTTGCATTCGCGGTGGCCAGCAGTGTAGATTGATTGAAGTAGAATTGACTACATCATATAAATTAAGTTTTCATGATAAAGGACAAGAGATGAAGGGATGAAAAAATTAAAACAAATAAAGGAATTAATTTTCATTTCTAAATATACACCAAGAAAATTATTGAGGCTGCTGCAACAGCAGTGAACAATGAAAAGTAGCTCACGAGAGAGCCGACAAGTGAACTTCTTTGTTCAAAGTTCTTGAGTAAAAAGAATGCTGGATTCTCTGACAGAGATGCAAAGTGAAGTGCGATAAGGGTAAAACGCGCAGGCGTATTTTCAATAGCTTTGATAAATTAGACAACATTTTGTATTGACTCTACTGAACTTGTAAAAGTCAGTGTTTTAAGTAAAGTTTCTTCAGTTTCACTACAATAACTTTCCTTTTTAAGTTTTTAAAACATTTTCTTCATTTCAGATATTTTTCATTGTTTCTAAAGTTGTTTTTAACATAAAATATGAGGAAAAATAATAAAAGGCTAAAATAGATTACACTCAACTACGTTTCTCTAATTACAAATATATTAGATTCAAATAAGATTGTGCCAAACAAGAAACTCAATTTTCTTCATTAAATATAGGGTCGTTATAAGCGAATTCTGCTGTATTAAGAACAATAAATTAATTTTGAAAGGTAAAGCTAGTCTTGGAATAACTAAATGGATGACACATGATACTGTTGTAAAAAAAAAAAAAAAAAATCCATGTATTCTAAAATAGTAAGATGTAACATAAATTATTGCATATGTTACATTTATAATCTAATATGAATGCAAAGTTATCCTTCTTTGCATTATTCCTGTCCCAACTATTATCACACATATTTATCAAATTAAAATTTAATTCTTTGTATTATAAAAACACTGAATGTTATAGCAAAATGATGAGAATCATAAAAACAATATATATAATAAAGTACATTTATTAAAAGCTCAATAACTTGAAGAACAATTTTAAGAGTTAAAGTTATTGCAAAACTCATTTGCACATTCTCACAACAGAAATTGATTGAGATTTATAGAATTTTTCAACATCACTAATTAATTTTCCATCACATAATATTAATTCAAACATTTCCAATAGCATGGTTCTAGCACTAATAGGAATATCATCACTGAGCAGTTGTTGTCGTATTTTATCTAAAAAATTATTGAGTCCATCTGAATTATTTGCTTTGAGACTGGCAAAACACTTTGGAAACTGAAAAAAAAAAGTATTTTTTTTCTTAATAAATAAATAAACAATACAAACTTTAGCACTAATAACACCTTTTTATTTCGACAGAGAATAAAATACATATGTGGTATCATAAAACGCATAATGGTATAATAATAATCTACATAAAAAAAGCTATCATACAAAGAAGTTTTAACTTTAATTTGTTTTTTTATTGAAATTGGTATTGAATTTTAAGCCGCCATCTTGTTAAAAATATTTGTACTATTTAACATTTTCTTGCAAAGAAACTGAAAGTATTGAAGAAAAAAAAAATTATTATTTCAAGATAATTTTAGACTAAATATAGTAATATAGAAAATAACCCAAAAAAAACTGAGTCAGTCACTAAGTTTTATTCGAAAAAAAAAATTAAAAATAGATTTAATTAACACTTTAATATAAAAACTATCACCTTAAAATAGAAAATTACCACGTAATCAAAGAATTTTAATGTGTCGAAGGAGAGAGTTTTTTTTTTACCTGTTCATAAACTACTTCAATTTCTTTTTCTGAGCCACCATCAACTAACATGCCTAGAACATCTAGCACTGGACGGCTCAAGACTTGAATGCAGTTGCCATCAATTTTAACATGAAAGAATATTTCGCACAGAAACCTCACATCCATGAGAAATTTGTCTAAAGTCAAGTAGCTATTCTCTCTTTCTGAAATAAATTTGTCATAATTCTAAATTTGCATTCTCATAAATAAAATATATACAAGGGTGATTCGGGACTAATATTTGTTTAATTGTACATAAAATACCTGCATAGATTCAATAAATTTTTCAAATACATCTTAAAGGTATATCTGTCCTCTATATTTCAATATAGTCACCACACATATTCAAGGACTTGCTGTTCCACTTTACTGATTTATCAATTCCTTCTGAGGCAGCGACAGCCTGGTTGGCATGGCACTGGACTCAAGTTTGTGAGAACAGAAGTTCGAATCCAGCTGGCCAAAGACTCCCTGTGTAGTAAATGGAGACTGGTGCACACTAAATCTGTCGAGTCATAAAGTCCTCCATGTTCCCGCAACAAATCAATACCACTGGGGTTACTTAATTGGAGATTGATCGTTCTCTGGTTCAGTTAAAAGTTACGAACTGTGGATGAATGAATGGGTCCATCCTAATAATGGGTATGATGTATGGGTGTGGCAGAAGTCGAATTCTTGGCCATAGATGGCGCAAGTGGAAAACAAGAACAATCGCACCCCCTCTGCCTTAATGGCTGACAACAACATCATCAACGCATGCATTGAATTTAGTCACCGACAATTTAAACCAACTTTCACAGTGATTTAAATTTTCTCATTACCCATTAAGTGCTCAACCTCAGACCGGTTCTTCATCGCAATTAATAGATAGTTATTAGAATCCAGGGTGTAGGTGAATGATAGGGTGTGGGGAAGAGTGTAATGAAATACAGGCTGTCACCGATAGACTAAATTGAATCTGTGATAGGCTTGTATTGCATTTGCTAAGCACTCTGAGGGTGTGCATAATCATGCAACAATTTAATCTTATGAATGTCTGACATTGACGGTTAAGTCATTTTAATTTACATCTTGTGCTTCCAATGTTTAGTTTCTGAATTGCCCTTGTATATATACACATTTTAAAATTAAAGTTATAAATTGCCACTATTTAGCATACAAACATACACCATTTATTTTATGCCAAGTACTCTATGTAATAATTTTTTTTCTGTTAATGTTATACATATATGCTCTTATTTCTGTTCTCAATTCTTGAAAAGATCACATAAATAAATATAATTTAATCTTTTACCTCCCAGTTAGAACGAAAGCAACTTTTAATCACACCAAAAAAGAAATGCTGAATTTGTAAAATTATTAATTAATTTGGTAAATACTTATTTTCTTGGAAAACTTCTAAAATGCATTTCTTGAAATCAATCATAATTTTATTTTTTTTTCAATTTTAACATTTTGCATAATTTTTCAAACTTCATGAATTCTTTGACTTTTTGAAATAAATAAGTAATTTTTCATTTGATTTCTCAATATTTAACATAATACATATCATTATTAAATATGTAACCTGGGCATTAAGGAGTCAATTTTCTACGCACAAAGTGTTCAGTAAAAGAGTGACTAATTTTGTAAAGTAAATTCTGAGACAATTAGTGATAGTATAATGAAATAAACAATCAATCGATATTAAAAGTCATAAAAATTTCCAGATGCTTTTTAAAGCTAGTTACCTATTAGAAATAAAGTCATAAGTCAACAAAGCTCAGCTTTGATTTTGATTAACATTGCTTTTAGTAGTTATTTGTTATAGGTACTTATGAAAACTTTATATACAATTCTAACAAATTTCAGAATAAATATATAATTTATTTTGTCTATTATAAATAATTTTTTCATATTTATCCGATTTTGAAATTCTGGTCTCCTTCTTTGGAGCCCTATACTCTTACAGGGTTTAAGTGAAAAGTTATCTTACTAAGTCAATTGAAAAAAAATTCTTTGATAAGATCAACACACTAAAAAGTTTTAAACTAGAATCTTGTGTTGATTCATTGCTTTCAACGAGATTTTCAGACATTGAACGCGAATGTACTTTAAAGACTCGATTCAATCCTCTATTAGCAAACAAATTGTCTTGAAACGAAGTCTTTTCTTTGGAGTTTCCAAATGTAGAAATAAATAAAATCTAGGTAAGCCATTTCAGGACAAGGTAGAAAAGTTAGTCAAGTGTGAGCCAGGGTAGAAAAGAAGTAAATGTAGGAGGGAGAGAAGTAAGATAAGTTTTCAATTATTTACCATGCCCATTTTTCTGAAACTTTTTGGAATGTTTAATATCTATATCATTAATGGAACATAGGATTTTATAAGTTTCAGAATGCAGTCAGGGAGGTTTAATATTTTGAAAAGTAAACATTACCAGGATTGCCACAGAAAAAAATGAGCAAAACAGTTGCTACTAGTAGCCTAAAGCATGAAAATAGTAGCCTAAAATTATGAAAATAGTTGCCTAAATAAGAACAAAAATTTTTCAATAATATGACTAAAATTTTATTAAATGATTTCATTGTAATCCCTGATCCATTTAGTCAAGTTGATGGCCAATATGATAATTTTTAAATAAACGTTAGTGTTCTAGCGCTAAATTTTTATATAAAATTTTTTTGTATATTTGCAGAACATTAAATACTTTTAAATGCTAGAATTAATGCAGAAAAATAATTTTTTCTTAAAAAAAAGCATACTCTTTCAATTAATTTTCCCTTGTTTCACATAATTTTTCCTTTAATCAATAATTGATTTAGCAAATATATATATATANTGTGTGCATGTGTGAAAAAGTGATTACTAAAATTCGAAAGTATTAAATATCGTATATAAATCATAGTATCATATTAAAAATTAGGTCTTTTAAAATCATGCAGAGTTTCGTAGCAATAACTGTTGAAAAGGCGAATGAGAAACAAAATAGATCCATAATGGAATCTGTGCAAATTGAGCGCATTAAGAAGTGATGACTCATATTTGCAATTCAATATTTTTTTATTTTATAGAAAAAAAAATTCATTATGTTCAGAAGCTATTGAGGGGCCGCAAGTTGTCAACCCAATTTATGCTATAAAAAAAACATTGCCAGGAGCACAGAAAAGTCTCCCAATAGTCTCCTTTTCCTTAAAATATTTGCTTTTTTAGCCTTTTCAGGCAAAAAAAAGTAGCCATAGTTGCCTTAGGTCGAAAATAATTGCAAATAGTCACCTGTGGCAACCCTGCATTACTAAAAGTCAATCTATTCATTGCCAACCAAAAGAGTGTTGTATAACAATTCATCGAGTGCTGCATGGCTGATTGTAGGAGAGGCAAAAGAGGTAGGGAGGTATTTTATTTATGTCGCACTAGAAACTATTGGTGACGGTCTGGAAAAATCCTTGAGGATGATCCAAAGACATGTCATCACAATTTTGATCATCTGCAGAGGGGATGGCTCACTTGCTTTGGTAGCCCGATGACAAAGTCGAGCACTTTACGGCAGAACAGTTTAACGAGGACCGATACCGCACACCCTTGATTTCTATGCAGACTGATCAAAGTGGTCACCCATGTCTTCAGGATCAGTCCACTGCAGGACCAGAGACGAAAGAATGATTGCTAGTGTGAAAGCTGATTTTTCCTTTCACTGATTCCAATCAGCACACTGCAACTGATGTTTGCTTCACAATAAAATCAATGACATTAACATTATTCAAACAAGCCCAGTTCATCTAGCAATATATATATATGTGCAGGGCCGGATTAACCTATAGGCACACTAGGCATGTGCCTAGGGCCTACGAAAAACTTGGGATAAAAAAAAATTGTTGACAAAAATAATTTAACTTTAAAAACAACAAGTGTATTTTGCACAAAATTATGAAGATACAAATAAAAATATAATATTTTTCGGTAATAAATTATTTTGCAGAATCTTATGATCTAATATATTACTTTTTGGCAATTTTTGAATTCAACGAAATCTTGTATTATGCTGTCAAATTCCAAACTACGCAAAATGTCGTATTCAATAGACATAAGTGCGAGCGATGCCAAACGATCTCGATTCATTGTTGAACGCAAATAATTTTTTATCAATTTTAATCTGGAGAAAGATCTTTCCCCTTCTGCATTTGATCCAAGAATCGACAAATATATTCTTAATGCAATGTGAATGTTAGGAAAAGTATTCACAAGTTTATCTTTAATTGCCTAGGGCCTACGAAAATTGGCTATGCCTAGGGCCTACGAAAGGTATAATCCAGCTGTGTGTGTGCTTGTGTTTGTTAAAAGCAATCATATATTTTGAGTAAAATATATTTATCTTAAACTTAAAAGAATAATAATTTGCATACCAGTATAAATTTTTTGAAGTTTTCTTAGCAGCATAGTGCGAAGCTTAATATTTTCCACAGCAACATCTCCATAAGATACACAGAATGAAGCTACAGCATGAGCATTCCATTGACTTTCTAATCCATGTGTTACAATTTTATCAACAAAAGAACTTAAACCATCTTGAGAATCGCATAATGATAGAACATCCTTTTCAATAACCGCTAGTTCTTTCTCAGGGTTACTTAGTCCCATTTTAACAATTTTACTACAAAGTGAATCTATTGGATCTTCTTTTTTCTATGAAGCAAAGAAAAAAAGAAAATTATAGTTAATCTGAAATAATATCATTGAACAATAAATTTATATTAACCAGCTTATATCATACTTGTTATGTTAAAAAATGCACTTTAACTAAACTAAACTCAGTGGCACAACAGCCCATAGAGGGCCAAGGCCTACAGTGCCTATCTTAGGTTTCTGACCTTGGGCTCTGGGGTGCAGGAGCAGATGTTCCAGTTAGGTGGTCAGCCGAACACGAAACCCCCAGTGCTCAGTTCCCAAGCATGCTTGGTACTGATTTATTGACCCACAGAAGGGATGACAGGTTGAGTCAACCTTGCCCGGCCTGAGGATCGAAACCAGAGCCTGTGGCACGGCAGTGTAATGCGCTACCACTTAGCCACCGGGTGTGTACAATCCCCTAATTCCCATAAATTTATCTGATAATCAAAGTTGCCTTTTTTTAAAGAAAAAAATATTTTCTTTTCAAAAAAAAAAAAAACTGTGTGAAGTCTGTATTTTAGTGAGAAAAAAAAAGAGGAAATTAAGAAAAACTGCAAAGATGATTAAATTAATTTTAAGGTATACAGAAAAGTGCTACAAATAAAATTCCCAGCCTATATCATAAGAGTTATAATAGATTTGTAAGATAAATCAAAATAGACTTATCAGCTCAATTCGATAAACAGAAGCAAAATCATAAAAAAAATTTTTAAATTTTTTTTTTTATGTCTCCAAAATTGAAATATCTATCGTAAAAGCATTTATCATAATTTTGCAGAGATATGCCATGCCCACAAAATTCGACTAAAACAAAAAAGTTTTTCATAGGAAAGGTTGCACTATTGGATATGTCACACAAACTTTTACTGCATGAAAAATTGCAGTGTTAGCGCACCTGTTAAAATAACAAATCGTACATAACATAAATGAGTAAAAATCATTGAATTAATTTTTAAACATACAAAAAAATTAGTATATGCGATCTCTTACTTTAAAATCAGAAATGATGCATTTCAATACTTTTCAAAGTAATGTAAAATTTTACCTTGTTCAATTGTGCACAATTTAAATGCAAAACAATTACAAACACATTATGTGAATAAATAAAAAATACCCCATTTTTATATAAATTATGTATTTAAGCAGCTAAAAATAAATAAAATACATTAAGAAATTAAGGAAAAGAACTTAGCATAAAATTGCATATTTTGATTGCATCACATCTCTTAGTTATAATTCGATTTGAAATACTTTAATACTAATTGTGATACAACACTGTCCAAAACAATAATAATACAACTACCAAAAAGAACGTCATTTCACCACCGCCACTTTGCGTGAACTCTTTGATCTTAATTTACCACATCTACCTTGATGACAGCGTCATCACAACATGGAGGCATGACAAACATCATAAAATGTTGCAGTGTAAAACATTCAATAAATATATCATTAAGCTATATAATATAAAATATTCAATAAAAAACATAAAAAAGTATAATATGGGACATTCAATAAAAAAATGATGAACAGCCATTTAATACGAACATAGAAAAACAGTGTAATATTATACAAACGTATAGCAATATGAAACGTTCAATAAAAACATATATGAAGGCATGACACTAATAAATCAAATAATTAAACAGCTAAAAAACCTTAAAGTAAATTAAAAAATATTATTAATATTTCTTGTTTTGTATTATTAATATTTCTTGTTTTTAAAATATTAATATTTTTTTTACACCAATCTTATCTTGCGGAAATTGCACTTCACATAACAATCAGGAACATATTATGTTTTGCATTATCAATGTTGACTTTCTAAAATTTAAACAAATCAAATGATAAGCAGCTAAAGACCCTTAAAGAATTTTTAGCTTTTGCATTAACAGCGTTTTTGGTAGGGATGGATGTCTGCTGTTGCACTATTGTTATTAATTCTTTATATTATTAATGATTCTAAAATGTAAAAAGAGATTTCTGCAAAAGAAAAAAAAATATATAATGAAATTTTGGAGAATAATTTCAACAAAATAAAATTGTCAAGCTCAAGGAGGGAAAAAAATTCCCACACAGGCCGCCTCATCAGATAAGCCATGAAGGCTTTAAAAGACTTTGTGTAGTAGCTAACTATATCCTTAAAAATTCTAAATGGATTAAACTATATTTAAAACAACAAGAATTAAATTTTTTTTCATTTGGATCAAAATGACAAAAATAATAATAAAACCTTAATTTAAATCTCAATAAAATTACCTCTGTATTATTAATCTGAAAGTTATCTCCAAATCGTTGCTTTAAACCAGATTCTGCAGGTCTACGAAGTGGTTGACCAGCTTTATTAGCTTGCATAGCATATCCTCGCCCTCTTGGTTTAGTAGCCATTGAAAAATTGTCTAGAAAAAATGCTAAAAATTAAAACAGCAATAAAAATCAACTATAATTATACTTATTATTAATATATACATTCTAAAAATTAATAATAAATTTTAAAAATTAAGTTTATTATTATTATAAAATAGATCGTTCTTTACGATAATTATAAATCCATAAATGAGGAAAATGCATTTTATAGTTTTTCGGTAGAGTGACCAAACAACACCAAATGACACATTGATTTTAATAACAAACAGCATAATAATTTATAAAATTATTTATGTAATTTAAAAACAGAAATTTCTAACTATGATGAATGAAGTGATTATAAGTTTCATTGGAAATTATAATTTTACAATGATTATCTCCAGTTTTTTTGTTCAAGATTTTCGTTCTATTTTCCCTTTTTTAATATTAGCCCAAGAATTTGGTCTAGCACACTTAAAATTTTTTTTTATTTCAGTTAATCTGATAAGGAGAAAGGATAGAAAATAACGTAATTAAACTAGCACAAGGTCTCTGCACCTTACATATTTTTTTTATACCAAAGACAATTATATGCCTATTTTAATCAATAGTAAAAAAAAAGAGAGTATAAAAAACGCATTTATTTTTAAACTATACAAATAAAAATTAGGAAATCTTTCTATACCTGTAACTGTTTATCCCAATTACAACCGATAAAGAGATTAAAAATAAAGAAGATTTTAATTCATAATTTATTGCTTTATTTTGCTCATTCCATATTTCATAAGAAAGTAAAAACCATCAAACAATAAAAATCACTAATCTACAAGTACTTTCAAACTTGCCAATATTTTTTTTTAAAAAATGTTAATTTTTGTCTAGAGTGGTAGCTTTCGAGTTGGTCCCTTTCTGGGATGTTTTCTTTATTTTTATTTCTGCCAAAGTACGATCCGAAAATCTTCGGAATCACGACATGGAAATCTTTCTGTTGGATTAACTGAAATGGAATGACTTCTATAAGAAATGTTAGTACACATTAGTCACATAAATTTCAAATTTACTAAACTGATCATCACGCAACAAGACGACATTAAATAATAAAAATATATTTAACACTTTTTATTCAGTTTCTTTTATTTAAACTATCCTATTTGGCGAGTGACAAGATTTTTATTTAACACCGGTCACTGTTTGTTTGTTGATGAGACAAACTTCAAAATTTGGTAAATAAAAAGCATGTAAAAATAAGTACTATTTTAAAAACTAACCAGTGTATATCTATAGGGAATAGTTAGACTATTAACCTTGGTATAAGTGATACTGGATGCAATTTAATAAAATCTGATTTGATTCAAAATTAGATAGTAGATAAACTGCAATAATTATAAAAAAATTTTGACAAATAATAGCCGTTGATAACGGTTTTGAAACTAAACAATAACTGTAACATCAGCTTGTTGCTCTATTAGAGAAACATTTCATTCCATTAAAAAAGCTGCAAGTATGATTTTTTAAACAATAGTTGCTTGTAGCTCTTAACTTATGTTTGAGTTGAGTTGAATAGTTTATCGGCTCTATGGAAAGTTTGCTTGTTTTTTGTTTTTTTTCTGAATTTCAATATGGATTACGCGACTCACAATGTTTGAAAACAATGCTAGAGTTTATTTCTGATCCAATTAATATCCGCAATTAAGCTGATAATTATAATTTATTATTTGCGAAGAAACTGCTCTTACTAAATCGATTTTACTTGCTAACTTATAACCTTTTCTTGTTGTAAAGCAATAGAAGATTTTTTTGCCGGTATATCCGGTAGCAATTAATTGTCAATGAAACCCTGTTAAATATTAATTATTGTTATATTTCTTTCCTCAAAGATAACTTTATTTTAAGAGAGGTAAGTATTGTGATTTTTAATTAAGTTTCTTAAAGTTAAATTTTGTTAAAACTCAAAGAAGTTGATGTGCACACAGTTTTATGTTGAAGTTTACACTCGTATGACATATCATTTTCTAAACAGTTGTCCTTAAGAATCCATTAGATTATAATTATTTTCAGGTACGTAATTGTCTTTACTTCATATTCAATTGTTCGAAATTTTATTAAATACAATTGTAATTGTGGCAAAGTTATGATAATATGTATAGAGATAGATATATAATCGTGCGTGTACGAGAAAGAACAGTCATTTTCTTTAATATTTATTATTCATAGGATAGTTATGTAAGAGCCATTTTTTATGTATTATCAGTTAAAGAATATTTCGGTTTATTTTAAGTTATGAATTGTTAAATACTTTTTGAAACACTATACAAAAAATCTTACTAATTAAGAAGTAATGGTGAAAATTTCTGTATTGAAACCTATTTGCACTATTTACCATCGCCAAGGGTTCCTTTTTTACTTGTAAATATTTAAAAAATTATGTGTGGTTATTTGACCTAAATCATATATCAAATAAAATTTCTAAAATTAATTTGTCTGAAAAATAATTTTAAAAATTTATAAATACCAGCTATATTCATTGTGATGATCTATTGTGATTTTTCTTAATACTTTTTTCTAATTTATATATTTTTTCTAATTAATTTTTATCTTAAATATTTATATCTTTTTTAAATGTTTTAAAGTGTCTGAGAAAAATCATGGCTGCTAAAAGAGAATTACATCTTGATCCTGATTATGAAGCTTTGCCTCCTGAACTACAAGAAAAACGTGTTAAACTATATGAGGATAGTGGTATGTAAATTTAGCATCACTTTATATACCAATTTGGATATTTTGTATTATGTTGTATCGGAAATTGTATCTGTGTTTAATAATGACTAATGCCCAATCTAATTATGTAAAAAAATATAAGATTGTAAAATCAGTTTTATCCTTTTAAAAAAGTTAGACATTGGGCCTACAACACAATTTACTTTATATATCTTTTTTTTAAAGTTTTAAAATTAATTGATTAAAATTAATAAATTTTTTTTTTTTTTTTTTTTAAGTATGAAAAATAATATAATTTTGTACTTATCTTAAAGCTCTAGTATGAATTGTGCTTAGTTTCAAATTTAATGCAATTTAACCGCTACATTAATGAGATTGTAATTAATGTATAGGTAAATGTCCTCATGAAATTAATATTATTACCATTGTTAGTCATTGGATCAACCTGTGAAGGGACCAAGGGTGTGCAATATCAGCCCTGGTTTAATGGCTCTACCTCAAAGTGCTAAACTTTGTGTGCTGGTCATCGGGCTACCAAAGCAAAGGAGCCATCCAACCTGCAGATGATCAAAATTCTATCAGCATGTTTTTGGATCAACCTCAGGGATGTTTCCTAGACCATCTTTAATAGCATTTTCTGCAATACTCATGAGGCATAAATGAAAATTGCAATGCCTAGTAAATGGTTTATTTGACCAAATTTCAGCCATTTGAAACTAGATATATATTAATAGTATCTCATGAGTCTTCAGCCATTCTTATTCTATTACCTTGGAGCTTTATTTCTTTTGTTAGCTTCACACATATTTAAATTAAATCTGAGATGAAGGTTATATTTGTTTAAAGTTTAAGATTTTTTTTCTTTGTATTTTAGTGAGAAAACAAATGCAGGAAAAAATTGTGAATGTGTTAAAAGAAAATTTTGAGCAAGAAATAAATTCAAAAGATGCAGAAATAGATGCTTTAGATGAAGTAAGTAATGTATATATTTTTTAAAAATATCTAACTCTTTAATATTATTTTTTGTTATAAAAACATATGTTTAAAAGATAATTTAAATTTAAAATTTTAAGAAAAAATTTAATTTTAATGTAATTGTAAGAGTTTCTTTTGTGGAGAATTATACTAATTACAGATATTTGTGTAATTGCTGTATGAACTTCTCAATTTTGACACTATAGCTTACATATTTAGTATAGATTTTATATAATTTATTTCAATCATTTTAAAATCTTTTTTCTTCAGCTTCTTTTAAAGGTAGAATTATTTGTATTTAAAATTATAGCATATGTGAATGATAAATAAATGTTTAGTAAATTTTATGTACTAAAATCATTTACCTACTGAAAAATAATTTGTACCTAAATATTATTAGGTAGTTATTTAATTACTAGACAAAGTTTCTCCAATTTTGACAAAGATTCTTACATATTTTGAATAGTTTTTATTTTGTATATTTCAATCACTTAAAAAAATGTTCTTCATCATCTTTTATCGATCCAATTATATTTATCTAAACTAATTTTGTATAAAAATTATTTTAATCTTAATTTAGTTAGTTAATAGGTAGTTATTAACACGTAATTTATGTACGAACTTCTCCAATTTTGGCAAAGTTGTTTACATATTTCAAAAAGATTTTATCTTCTGTATTTCAATCATTTGAAAATTTTTTCGTTTGTTCATCATTGTACTTAAACAAATTTTATCCCAAATTTATCTATTGTTATCTATATTTATTATTGTTTATCTGTTATTTCTCTTTTTGTCATTAGAACTTATATACATGCCGAGCAGTTGTAGATCGACTAAGAGCCTGTATAATTACAAAATTTTATGCAAGTTTAGGACAAGATCAGGTATAATTTTGGTTTTTATTTTCTATATTTAATTGTGCTACATTTTAAAAATTGTCTTTCATTTGCATTTCAGAAATGTCTTTTAGCTGATGATTTGATATTTTGGGAAGTTATGAAATATTTTGTCTGAGTCTTTTATGCTTAAAGGACATAATAGCAAATTAATGGAAATTTTACTAAATTTTGCACAGAAAATAAGCTATGAATATGCCCAGAAGCAGAAAGTGCCTAAAACTGTGACGTACGTCGCAGAACAAACTAAGTCCTGCAGAACAATTTGTATCTTGAATAAGTGAGAGCGTTTTCCCGCGATCCCCCGCCCACCTGCCTCCCATAGTTTTGCAGAAAAATCCCCAACCCTAATCTCATACATTCTCTTAGTATTCGGACCTTCATATCATAGGCATTTTATTAATAATTCATCATCGTCATTACCAAAATTTTGTACTTCAAAAGTGATTGAAAAAGTAACAAATCAAGAATGTTTGCCTTGGTTTAAAAAATAATGTAGTGTATCTGTGTATGATCCTGTATTTTAATAAATGAAAATATAGTATTTTAACGTAAAGTTGACTTTTTTTTCGCTGTGAAATGCTTGCAGAACATTTGTATAAATTAATAAGTCCTGTTGCAGAACATTTGAAAATATTCTGCTTATGGGTGAATATGTCTGAATTTATAAGTTTTTATAATAAATTTCATAGTTATAAGTTTTGTATAATGAAAATTAAGTCCTGTGTGTAAATTTAAATATCTATATGTATATATACAGGGCTCAAAATTAATGGTTGTCAACTGATCAAGGACTACTAAATTCTGACTCAGACCACCATGATGTAGTATTTAGTGGTCCCTTAATCTGGTGACCAATTACCATTAATCTTAAAGTATGCTAATTGATTATTTTTTTTAAAAATTTTAATTTGAAACAATGATCACATTTCACTACAATACTTGAAATGATGTTTTGCATTTTTTCTATTACATTTTTCCCAAAGATTTGGAAATTAGGTTTATTGCTTAGAGTTGTAAATTTTCATATTTTTTTGTCTTATAAACTATTTTTTTTAAAATTTAACTCTTTAAATATTTTTGTGTTTAAAATTTTAAAGGATAAACTTTACTATTTGAAGAAGAAAATCTTATTAGTAAGACAGATTTAATGGTAAATTTTTTTTATTACATGATATTTCTGTTAAAAAAAATGTTGGTATACATTTCTTATAGTTTTTTTCTATTGTTATTTACCAAATATCAAAAGATATGTTAAATTTTAATCTGAAAGTTTCTCGTTTATTTTTTAATGGGAAAAATGTGTATGCCAAAGGAAATATTTTTTTAATTAATCTAGTAATAATTTCTTAGTTCTTTAAATTATTGCTGCATCTAATTAATTGTTTTTATTAAATTATATTTTTGAAACGCATTTTTTTTATTCAATAAAAGTTTAATATATTTTTGCCATTAAGTACATAGTTAAAAGAGGAAATTAAGCTTTATTGCTTTAAATAGTATAAATAAATGAAAATATAACTATAAATGAGTAAATTAAAGCAGCTTGAATAAAGCACAGCTTGATTAACTTGTTCTTATTCAAGTTTGTAATGTTGTTGTCAAGTTAAATAAAAAAAAAAAATTATAAACGATATTTTTTGAGCTACTTATGAATAAAGCATAATTTGATTCACATTATGTACTTCATGCATTCGTAAATAGTATATTTTATAATAAACTGTTTTAATCAATCTTTTTTTACATATATATTTATATATATTTATCTTGAATCTTTAGAAACCAGATCAAGATTTTGTACCTTCATTGCATCCTACCATTAAGAAACATATGGATAAAAGCATCTTCCCCGAAGGGAAATGTGAGCATGTGATGAGGCCTGGCTCATCTAAGGAGGCTGATACAGTATTTATAAATGGAAATGTTAGAGATACTGTGAGACTAACGTGTAACGATTTAAGTCAAGACAATAACAGTGTAAGTTATTTTGCTTAGATTTCCTTTTATTAGATTAAATTCTCAATTTCATTAAATTTTAATTTGATTATCATTAAAGTAAATAGTTTAATTTGTTTCAAAAAAGTTTAATCTCTTTGTGTAGTCTTTTTTTTTTTTATTTATTAAGAAATCTTTAGAATGTAGAAGTGCATGCTGTGCGTTAACCCCTTAACTGCCGAGTAAAATTTACGTGATTCAGTCCCCAGTGCCACGGTTTTTCGCTCAAGTGCACTTTCTTACACAGTGTTTTGGTGGGGAAAATGATGCACGCTTTGCGATTTAAAAACAGTTTAATTTTACAAGACAAGAAATAGGAAAGAAAGAAAATACAAAATTTAAATTAAATAATAAAAATACAATATAAAAGATGTTAAAACTTAGCTGTTGTATGATAAATCCTGAAACATGGTTAGACACATAAACCAACATCACATTCATCGCACTGATAGCGGGATTCACGACGAATTTTTTTTCTTGAACAAACAGCACATTTTCGCGATGCATTTTTCTTTGAAGACGTTGATGGAAAGAATAAAAAGCACCAAATACATACGAGAAACAAAAGGGAAAAATAAATACACACAAGCAATTAATACGATATCACTTTTCCATAACATCCTTTTCCCATTCCCCCTCCTCCGAAATTAGTAATACATTCGCAAAGCAAACACTTTCAAGTCCATTTTACTGCATTCTGAAGTAGGGGGTGTAGTTCTATTTATAGCAGCGCAATGCAAAGCATCGTACTTTGGGAAAGCATATATATACGCCTGCGGCAGTTAACGCATCGTTTGGCCGAGACATATATATATACGCCCGCGGCAGTTAAGGGGTTAATAAAACTTAAAAACTCATGCCAGCAAGAGAAAGTAAAGAGATAACCAGTATAGATCAAATAAAAAAATTTTTCTAGCTATAAAAATAAAAATTTTGAATTGAACTAATTTTACAATAATAGTAACAATAATAATGTAACAATAACAATGTAACAAATATAGTATTTTCAGTGGAATCTTTTTCAATATTTAACATTTGCAAACGGACACCATAATAGCATTTGCAAGATAGCTTATTAGGAAATTATTTAGTAAATTGGCATCTTCCCATGGACTTTGAGATTCCATTATTTGTTGTGCAAAACTAATTGTTTTTGGTAGCATGACATTTTGTGAAGAGGTTGCAATTTTAAAGATTAAGCAGTTTCCAAATCTGTTGGCGAATGAAAAATAGATTAATAGCTTTTCATTTTCAGTTTTTTTTTTTAATGAATAATTCTTAGTTTATTTTTTAAATAGTCTTATTGTGCTTATGTAATAAGTAACATTTTTCTGCAACACAAATAATATTTTGTTCTGATATATTTGTTCAGTAATAAGACTGCACCGGGATGTTCTGTTGCAGAAAGTGTTCAATATACAGGGGTCTGTCCAGGCCGAATTTACTACCATTTAGCGGTACCTTTACACATTCAACTTTAGGAAAAACGGTAGTTTCACAAATTAAATTTTTGGAAAATTTCACAAAATACTTTTTCTTAAAATTTTATATTTGTAACGATAAATCCATATTTTTGTGTTGATTTTTTAATATAATTTTTAATTTTTCACAAATTATTTTTAAATTTTCACAAAATAGGTACCTCACATAAAAACCTATACAGACCCCTGATATATGTGAGTGTCCCCTATTCCAATATCTATGAATGTTATCGTCTGATAAAAAAAGTTCAATATCTATGAAACTTTTTTCTTTCATACAGCTTTACTTATAAAGCACATTGATTACATTTCTTGCATTTTCTGTATTTGTTCAATTACCTAGACTATTCTATGAGTCTAGGAATATAGTTAAACTCCATCACTTTATCTAAAAGTTTTTTTTTTTTTTAAATTTTATCTTTGACAAATTTAAATGGTATTTTCTGAAATAAAATGGCTAAAAAATTTCTGTGGTCAGAACTAAATATTTTGTTTGAAAATTTTTGTTCAGTTTTTAAAACACAAATGTTATGTTAAAAATATATTTACCATTGCAGGATATTCAGTAGTTCAATTTTTTCTCCTTATTAGGTTTGTAATTCTAATCATGTTTCTATGACTGATGATAGTTACAATGTATCAAGATTCAAAACTAAATGCAAGATTGTTGTTGGAAACATTTCCAAGTATGTTTTTTATTATATTTAAAAATTTTTTATTATATTTATCTATCCTTTTATTAGTTTAAATTATTGTATATAATTAGCTTTTTGCTTTGTTGTTTTTAAGCTATTTTGGGTTTTTACTTTTAAACTAGTTGGTTTAGTTTAGTGCACTTTTTATATTTAAATTGAGGTTGTTGTTTTCTTTTAACAAACTTATCATCAAAGAGAATTATAAAATGTCAGAAATAGCATTTTGTTAAATTTTCTAACATTTCTGAGAACTTTGTTTCTGTCTGTTAAATTATGGAAACTTTTGAAATGGTTGAAAAAATTCTATTTTGTGTTTACCAAACTTAATTTGATTAGTAAATAAATTCAAATCAATCTTTCTTCTTTTATGAGCTTTGTTAACAGCGGCATCTTTTCATCTGGGCAAAAGAAAGTTATGAGACCCCTCTACTTCAAATGATGTCTCAAAATTTCTCAATGCTTCTTCAGGGATCCGGCGAAAAGTGCTCAATGCTTCTGGAGCTTTGTTAATAGCGGCATCTTATGATCTTTTCATCTAGGCAAAAGCAAGTTATGAGATCCCTCTGCTTCAAATGATGTCTCAAAAGTTCTCAATGCTTTTTCCCCACCAAAAATTATTTTAATTTTCTTATCAATTTGAAGACTATTTAGCACATTCTGTGGATCCCGGCAGGTTTACTTTCAAGCAGGGTTGGGTTTTTGACGTCAAAAAGTGGTTTTTGACATGACAAGGGTATAATGGAAAAATAAGGAT